TTAGTATATAGTCTATCATTCTTCATTTAAGAATTTTGAAATGGCTCCTTTTCTTCAGATAAAAAGTATACAGCAGTTGGTATTTTCTGAGTTAAGTGGGAAAAGAACAACTAAAATAGATTCAGATTGGTTTTGAGTTTGGGAGGTTTTCAAATTTATTAGGGAGGTTTATTGGGAGGTTTGAGTTAAAGAGGTTCAATTGTAAAATACATTTGCTTTATTGGAAAGAATATTCTTTTGGGGAACATACAGTTATGAATGATCAATTGCTATTATTCTTATGCTTGTGCAATATATTCATCTCAACTTTTGAATTCCTAGTTTTTTTTTTAGCAAATAGAGTTGAAATGATTATTGAACTATATTTTATTGTATTTGTTCTACTGGAAGCACTGAATATACCGGTGGTATGTTGCAATTTGATTTCCCGCAATTCAACTGTCCTGCAATTTTGACAGTTTAATTCGCTGGGAGGTTGACTCTCAATTTGACCTCTGCCATTATTTAAGTTACCCTGTCGAGATACATGAAACGTCAAATGACATATGTCAAAAACATGCCATGTGACATTGTCTCACAATTTGACCACTTTGCAATTTGACCCTATAGTCCAGCAATGGATTAGGGTCAAATTTTGAGGTACCACCTGTATATTAACTAAACACCTGATGTTTCCCACACCAATTTAATTCCAAATGTTCTAAAAATCATGTCAAATTAATAAAAAAAATTCTGTACAGAAGATTTTCCTCAGGTCCCGTGATGCACAAGAATGTTATGTGAGAAGATTTTACTCTACGTTCTATTGAAAAAAAAAAACACTTTTTTCAGCAACCCGCCAGGGTGCATACAGTATAAGGGAACATTCGGTGCCTCCCAGTCCTCAGCAGTTGTTGGCAGTAGGAATGAGGGGGTTGATAGCGAGGCTCAAGTCACCGGGAAGGAAGATACCGTACTCGATAATATCCGGCCGTAAAGCATGACACAAAAGCCACGTGCCGGCCGTGGGAAAGGGAACAAGGAAGCTTTGCACAACAAACGCCTCCCTCGGTCCTCGGTCCTCTCATTACCTTATCGGATTGCGGAGTTTGCAACATCGATTCAACAATGAGCCGACGAGCTCATCCCATCTGAGGTGTGCTGTTTCATGAAAGTATCATGTCTGACGGACGATAATCGACGGCTTTCGAGCGTGTGGAAGGAATTCCTGAATAGACCGGTCTGATGGAATATCGACCCGAGCTTTCACGAACTTTCCCCGTTTATCAAGCTCCCGCATTACGAGTATGTTGACTTCGCTGCTCAGAATGCGCCCAATATAAACACACACATTGCAGACGAGGAACTGAACAAAGCGTATAAGCAACGCGCTGCAAAGGTAAAACAACGGGGAATTGCAATTACATTATGCACTGTGACCATCCTTTGGGAGATGGGTCATGGGTGCAACCATAATTCAGAAACTGATGAGCAAATCCCTTCATCCATGAGGGCACATTGAGTAGCATCTTCGTCCTGCTGATTTTTTCAGAAACCCAGGAAGGCCATATTAATGCGAAAATGGATCAGTTCGGGTTCAATGCATTGGGAAACATGTTGTGCGAATGTTGCATAAACTTATGCTCAGTATGTGACTGCGTGAGGGCGAGGTTTAAAGTGAGTTCACCATCGGTAGTCAAAGGGTTTGGAGTTTGAATGAGTTAGATTTGTGGTAATTCATGCTTTCATCACTTAGGACAAAATTAGGCATGCAGAAACACAGATCGGATCCTTACGTATCGGGAGAGGAATACGCTGACAATTCGGAAACATGCTGATGAAATTGTGGACTAGCGACATTTATACAGTACTGTACAGTATCATGCATGCATATCCTCAAGAACTTCAATAAACGAAAATTCCATTGCTCATCCAAGCCTTGTAAGTACAGTATATTCACAATTTTCGATCTTGACTTCCGGTCGCACTATGCATCACTTCTTCATTATGCTCCTTAATGCAATTTCGCTCAAAAAATCGCTCCTGTATCGACGTTTTCGTATTTTCTTATTGCGACACCTACAATTACCATGAAAAATCGTATAATGGTGTAAACAATAATTACAAATAGGTGTCGCTCTCTTATAAAAAAACTGCGGACCGGCACGCGCTCCTTCACCCTAAAAATTCATGTTCACAAAATAAGCGGGATGCATGGCATTTTCAATACTGTATGCACATTTTTGTTGAGTCTCAAACCTTGATCACATCCTGTAAAAGTTATAAGAAATTTTATTCTATATCAATATGAGAAAGAGTAAGAATGTATAGGCTCAATTGCGGCCAACAGGATCAGTTGTATGTTAGTACTGTAACAAAAACAAACGCCGCACGATTCAAGATAAGCTCAGTGAACTAGTCTAAATTTCAGATTTCAGCATCCATTTTCTATAATAAATTAACAGTTTTGTGTCACATAGTAAGTTAGGCTGCGCATCTTAGTATCTTATTATACACAGATAGGTTGATTTTTCTCAAAAATTGAGGCGCGCATCATACATATGAGGTCGCAGGAGTACATATACTTGCACAGTAGTGTACATAAATGATTAGCCATCGAACAGCATTATTAGAACAGTGCGACAGCAGAAATACAAATAAAACAACAGAAGTCCACCATTGTAGTATATTTCACTATAAGGGAATTTTGCGTTCATTGTTTCCACTCAAGCATGACTCTTATTTACAAAACGAGCAGCGACAAAGATCAGATGAACAGCTACCATATCGCGATACTGTTACATTTTCGACATAAGCCAACATTTTGTGATTTAGAAAAAACGTCAGACCATGGGAACGTCCATGTTCAGCAGTAATGTTTCGCGCTTCACTCGCGGAGCTGACCGATTCAAAGAAAAAAAAAAAGACGTGGACAAATGAACCAAAATTCGTCAAGTTGGGTTAATAGAAAAAAATCACAACATCGAATACGTATTGACACGACCATTCCATCATAATAAAAGCACACTGGTGATGAACCACTTCAATAAAATGAAATGCTAGTGGACATGAGATGGCCACAAGCTCACTGCCGAATGCATCGAGCTGATCAACGATACATAGACTGCGAATGATGGCTTTCACACGGAAAGCACAAAATCCTTGTCCCACAGCTTATCGCCACAAGTCCAACAGAACACAATGCTTCGATGTTCAACCAAAAAAAAAAAGTGTCAACACAAGAATCAAAATTAAAAAAAATCATGCTGACGTCAAACTCACACGACGGGGAACGTGTGGGTTTGATGTTCTTGATTTTGTTCTTGAAATGCTGCCACCGGGGTCAATTAATTGCGTGTATGCACACCACAGGGCCGCGCCCGGCGGCGGTATTTCAAGAAAACAAAATCAAGAACAAAATCACCCCATCAAAAAGACGAACAGATGCGCATCAATCCACATCTGCATTCACACGGGAAAGGATAATTCGTCGAGGGCGAAGTAGTGGAAGAAACTTGGAAGCCATGCATGAGCAGGGTGTCCTACTTGCATACAGGCATGAGTTGCCCTTTTCGCGTATTAGTGAAGCAATGCTCGCTTAGAACGTATGCATGGAGAAAGCTTTAAACAAAGCAGAGCACAATCAACGCTGAGGAATAAAATCTTCGGGGAGCCTTCTCAAGTAATTTGAGCATTCTCGTCCATTGTTCACAAACATTCCCTCACCACCTCTCCGTAACCAGACTAGAACAGCCGTCCAGGCTCTTGACCAAACCATATCCTCTACGCCTCCTATCATTGAGGGATTGATTAAATCCGAAAACGAGTTCTTCCAGCAGAAAACTTCAACAAAGGGTTCCTGATGGGAATCCATTCATGGTTCCAGAAATATGAATGGATTTTGTCTGGAGCAAAATTCGAATCAGGGTCATTTAAAACTGACATTCGGGAAAATATTCCCCGACTCTTTTCTACGGGAAAATATTCCCCGATGAGCAAAGGTGACTCAGGAGCTGCCGTGGGAAAATCATGAGCCATGGCTGCGCAGAAGAAACACGAAAAAAAAAAAAACCGCTGACACAAACATGCACTACACCTATCAGTAGTCACAGGAAGGCAATATGGCAATTGCAAACTCAGAAGCTATGTACACACAAAATCCCCTTCCCCGACAAACCACGCAGAGCAATATTCACAGAAAGACTACACTTCGCTATGGCAATATAGGAACGTAAAGCGTTCAAGCTCCTACACGGATCGCCACAGGAAAATGAACATCAAGCTCTTACATCGGCGTCGTGCGCTGGGCTCCGACAACACTTCCTTGCCTTCCAAGCCTCACAAGTTCATCCGATAATTGGGCAAAAAAAAACGCGAAGTACTTCTGAAAACCTGGATAACTTAAGCTGTGCAGGCTTGGCAAACAAAGCCCGATTGGAAATATGGCCTCAAGACCTCTCACAATCGATTCAACGCTATCGAGTTTCAATATAACAGAGCGAAACTGAGATTACCTTCTACATGGCACGTTACCACATTCCTTAAGCACTGAATATAAAAGAGAAAAAAATAAAAAACGAAATGACAGATGCAATTGAAAAAAAAAAAAAAACTAAAAACAGGGTCCAAGGTTTCAGCGTCATCTCATCAGTGTACCTGAAATGACGCAAAACTGCGAGCATTCGCACCAGGAATCCCTTCACATCTTCACACAGCTAACGTGTCGTATGGCATTAAGAAGGCGTTTCTGTGAGTTTCATGCCTGTAATGTAGATGCATCATAAAAGCAACTCAAGAGTGAACCGAAAGAAACTCAATGCGAACAAATGCACAAAACAAACAATAATGCATCCTAAATTTAAAAACTTTCAACTTAAAAGAGTAAAAATATGAAACAATAATACTTAAACTTCTACATACTTGAGCAAAATAAAAATTGAAACCATGCTAAGCTTTTGGCACGACGCGACGCTTCTCTGGAATCTCAAATCGCGCAATTAACTCGACTAATCAACCTCACCGGTAATCTCGGCTGGTAAACTAAGAAACAATAATTTAACGTGGGAAAAAAAAAGTTTCTCATTGGATAACATCTTGCCATGATATTGATATCGCGACGTGATGGTCAACCTACTTTTCCAATAGCTTCCGCATTTCCTCCGTGGTGCGAGCATCCTTGGCACTCACTGGAATACCGAATCAAAATCGGATTGAAAATAAAATTATGCAACAATAAGAAGAGGCTTACGAGCTCCGGAGTTGTTAGTCGGCGTCGGGCTCGGGTTGGGATTCGGGTTTGCATTCGTGTTCTGGTTGTTGCACGGATTCGGATTCTGCGGGGCCTGCTGCTGTTGTCCGGCGTTGGCGACGTGCTGCGGAGTCATCGGTGGTGGCGGCATGTCAATGTTCTGCGGTGGCGGCGGCAAGGTGTAGGTTCCGTTCATCGGTTGCATCGGCTGCATCATCTGCGGTGGCATCTGTCCGCACATCGGGAGCATCTGTCCACTGCACTCAGTCCTCGGCGGCGGCGGTGGCGGCATTGTCTCATATCCTCCTCCAGGCAAAGCTGCAACGATATTCACAAAATTCAAAAAAAGTTAAGATTGATGGACGGTACACTAGGAATTGTAGAACTGCAGTAACTGCAATCTACAGAGGATCACAAAGCTGTTGAACAACAAACAAATACGTAGGATAATGAGTATGATACAACTTCATAAATTTTCCATTGAAAAGATGAAATGTTTTAATAGGAGTAGAAATCACTGCACACAGAGTTTCATTTTATCTCAAGCTCAGTTAGACAAGGTTTCATCACTCGCATATTGATTCCCACCGTGGGTACAAGGGCATAACGAAAGGAGCATACGAGGTGAGTCGAGATCACTGAGGATGATGCCTAATTTTAATTTTCTTCCTGCTTCAATTTACAGAATTCTTCTTCCAAACTCTACAGCCAATTTCAATATACAGCCCCAAAATGCAGACCTCCATTAAACAGAAAATGTTCCGACAATCTATAATTATCTCGCTCTCATTGACTTCTCGACAGTTGAAGTCGCTCGATTGAACGATGAGTTTCCCGATTTTTATCCCGAAAAACGCTGTGACTTGACACATAATGCGATTTCATGTTCACATCTACGAACTAGAACTAAGCATGGATTCCCATCGTTTGAGATATTTAAAATGCTTTAAAAAGCCGATTCAAAACATACCGCGTTTGACAGTTCCATGCTGGCAACCAGTTCCTTGGCAGCTGCCATCATACGTTGCCTCATCATAGTCCACGTTTGCGGGATCATCATATTCTGGTCCATACGTAGGTCCGTTTCCGTTCGGCAGCCTCATGTACCTTCCATCTGCCTGTGGTCTTGGCTAAAAAGGTGGGATACCTCACCATTAAATCATTCGACTGTCTGAAATTCTTCAAAAATGGGTTGGATGAATAATATATATAGTCAAACCTCTTCAAGTAGAACTCCAAGAGACCCGCATATATACAACTGACGGAGTTTTTGTGTCAGGGAAATGTATTTTCGCTTGGGAAAATTTTGAAAACTAAGTTCAAATTTTCAATCCTTGGGATCAATGCTGTTGAGTTTGGAGGCAAGCGCTCATTTTCCCAATTTGTCACTCATAGTCCTTTTGAAAAGCATCAAGTTACCCCTTCATTGCTTTTCTCTTTCCTGCGTCCCCAGAAAAATAGCCCGAAGGCTTCCAGAAATTTGAGCCAGGGTTTGAAGGGAGAAGTCTTCGAGTTAGGGAGGTACCGTATACACTGGAATTCATCGTTCTTAATAGGAATTTTGACAGGCATTGAACAAAAATGTTACATTGAGTGGTTTTCGATTTATCGAGGTCCAACAGAAATTCATAAAACAATAAAAATAAAATAATAAATAAAAAAGCAGTAAAAATTTGAAAACTTGTAATGATAGAATAGCATCGACCAAATACATGGAAGTTGGTTTCGTCTTCGGTCCGCTGTTTTCGAATCATATCAACCCTTGAATGATAAGTTCCAACGAAATCAAATAAATAATTGATCACGGCGCGTCATTACAATTTATAATTCGTGTACGGGGGTCGACGAAAGGATGCGAAGGACTACGCCACACGCACACAATGGACATTTCCAAGAAATTAAATTTAAAAAAAATTACCATCGACTGAGACGTCTGCCTGTTGTGCTGCATACCCGCGCCGTTCATTCCAGGAGGTGGGCCCGTCATTCCAGCGTTGTGTTGGGGATGCGGCATTGTTTGGAATTGCTGCTGCAACGCGGCTTGCTGGTTCGGATCCATGTGCTCTTCGCGGAAACCAAGCAGATGGAATGTGGCGTACGGGCAAATGTCTTCGTCAATCGTAGCTGCATGTGAACAACGTTCAATGAGTAACCAAAGCAACGCACACGAAGCAGCATTCAGAGATATTGCTCCTCCAGGAAAACCGGCAACAAATATGTAGTACAGTACTTTCACGTCGTCAAATTTTTTTCCTGACTTTGCTGAATGCTAAAAAAATAAAAATAAAAGAACTGACGACTTTGGAAAAGATAGATGATCGTACTTCTCGTTGCGACTCTAATTTATTTGTGAAAGGATAATCAAGCGTCTTTCGATTAAAAGAACAGATTGAATCAATTGGGAACTGATAGATAATCGTAGTTCTTGTTGCATCTTCAATTTCCTTAAAAAAGGATTATCAAACGTCTTTCGATCAAAAGCACAGATTGAATCACTCACAAAAATGAAACAAACGAAAAAGTCCAAGGTTGAAAAACTACTGTATAATAACGAATTTTCTGCGAACTCTTGAGTGAAAGTACACACGTCGTTCAACAGAAGTCAATCGTGACAAGAGACTTCCGGACAGATTTCCCCTTCGGAATCATATCAATAACACCGATTCAAGCAAGCAGGAGCGAAAAGGAAATAACTGCCAAGCGCATGCACAAAAAGGGGCTAGAATAAGCACGATCACGAAGTCAGCAAGATGATCTTGAGGAAGCGAACGACTCGGAATCGAGTGTTCCCCAGAAGGAATAGCAGCACGAAGAAACATCCCGGCTCCGTCCGCGGATACAAGTCCGGTCGCAGCAAACTCACCCCCGGTCTCAGGATCAATTAGCGCCCCGTGCGGCGGCGGCGGCGGTGCCTTCCGCCCGACCGCTTGTCCGTATTCATTCACTTCCTCGTAGAAGTGTCTTCTCGGGTCCCACGTGCTATACGCTGCACTCGGATTCATCTGAGGAACTTTCACTGACCCTGGTCGACCTATAGTGCGACGGAGTCGCCGCGTTTCTCAATTATTTCAGCACATGCGAAGGAACATCTCTTATCTATTTGCTCGGTTCGCTCGCGCAACGAATTATTGGGTAAATAATTAATCAACTAAAAGGTAAAAATTATCCAGCAACAACAAAATATTCTCGTGCCTCACTAGCTAATCATAATTTCTAGTCACAAAATGTGAGAGCAACAAGCAAAAACAATTCATAACTTTAACCGAGGCTTGCACATCATAAGGCACGCAAACGAACGAGATCCTCAGAACGAACCTCGTTTCATCCGGTCGCACGTGTTGTAAGTGTTTCCTGGCACTGGAGGAAGTTTCCGATTCGGCGGCGCAATGTAGCCGAGCTCGTCGCGATACTGACTGTGTCTCTTATCCAACGTAGTCGGCGGAACGGATCCATTGTATTGGGGTTCTTCTAAGCATAGGAAAAAACTACGTCAGTATCTCTGGAAATCAGATGGTCGACACCAAAAATATTTGAATCGATAAAACAGTAAAATCGGCATGCAAGAAATGAGACGGAAAAAAACCAGAAGCTAGAGCGACTAACATCAAGCATTTCGGCAAAGAACAGAAAAAAGCAACCCGAAAGAGAAAGATATACCTCCGAGCCTCATTTGAGAGGGGCCCTTTGATCGTTTCGACATGGCGAAACAGATAACCATGAGGCCAATGAAAACGACAAGAAGGGTTGCACCCACGGGAACGACAAGATTCAAATCGACCCACTCCGGCACCCACCAAATTGGCCCAGATGTGACACTCGGCTTGGCCGGAGCGATCGTTGCTGTGTTATAGCAAAAGAGAAAGAAGAAACAAGAGCGTAGAGGACAGCCCGAAACCTTAGCTCAAGCGGAAAAAAGAACTGTACAATTCCCAGTCTCGGACGGCAATCCAAGAGCGTCCGAGACTAAATCTATGCCGTATACCAAGTAAGCGTCCCATATTTGTTCCTTTTTCTGTTCGAAGAATTTATAATTTTTCGCAATAACACAAGACCTATCACGGGTTTATCAGATCCACTAAACAAGGATAGCACACGAGGTTACGTATTCTCAACCCTATATGAAGCATGGGAAAATTTAGGAGCCTTTCTCCGTTGATAAGCAGCAGATCTTAGCCTTGAAGAAACTAGGAGAAAATCGGCATAATCCACGGAGGATATTGTCGAAGTGAAGAGAATGAAGGGACGGTTACACACACCCAGCACCACGATTGGCGAAGAGTCGAAGGAGACGAGCCTCGAGCTACGAGACAAGAACATGAATGGCAGTTCGAAGAGATACTGCATGCAGATCGAGGTTGCGTCTCGCATTCGACTACCTCGTCATTTCTCACCTTTGCTTCTCATATTCTTTCCCCTCATGAAGCAGACGACAGCCACAGCAATAATTACTACGAAGATCACAGCGCCTGCACTTACTAGCACTGTCATGTTCATATATATCGGTATTTCTAGCTCATCCGACGATTTAGGCGTGAGATCTCTCGCAGGGGCAATGGTACCTGAAACACATCAATCTCATTGTTTTCTTCCAACTCAATCATCGTGACTGCGGTTCTGCTCTTCCTCAGCTCTCTTCGGTGGTTTTAGGTCACGCATTCCTTCGTTTCTGCCGGGGTTAAGAATTCAAAATTTAAAACGCTCACCTCCTTTCTCCGTCAGAGTAGCAATTTCATATTCCGCAGTTGATGAGCCCGCGTTGTTATGCGCCACAACCTTGAGAAGGTACCATGTGGCAGGCGCTAGATCCAGGACAACGAAGTTTCCTCCAGGCTGAACGTTGTTACTAACCATGACCCATTCACTTTGTTGTCTGCGGAAAAATTCTTGATAAAGATACTGCTTCGAAAACCCTTTAAAAATAATTCATTCATTACTTTGCTTTGTGTTCCACAACGTAGTAGAGCATTGGGCATCCGCCATCATCCCAGGCTCCCAAGTGCAACGTTACACTGTTCGTGGTCACTTCGAGAAATTTATGAGCTTCGGGAGTGCCAGGAGGTGTGCCCAACGTTTTGCCTCGAACGATGTCAGACGGACGTCCTTTCCCAATGCTAAAGGCAATCGCAGCAACGCAATTTTAAAACAAGCCTGAATTTTGTCATTTCAAGTCGACATTGCGCAAACTTACTCGTTGAAGGCTTCGACGTAGATTTCATAGTGGGTACCACACCATAATTTTTCCAATACATAGTTGGTGGTCTCGTGTGCCAGCTGAACGCTGTCCCACTTTCCGAATTCGGGCTTGAAATGCACGATGAATCCATGGATTGGCGTCGACTCGTCTTCATAAGCCTTGATCTGGAGAGTGATTGTATCTGTTGTCGAAGACTTCACGATGACTGACGGCGGGACAGGAGGAGCTGCGGAAAGAACATTCGCAAAGAACGTCAGTTGATGTTGGACTCGAATTCTTTTTCTCAGCTTCACAGCGTTACATATCAACTCGCGAATCAACTTCGGCTTGCATAGAAAACGAATAATGATTTTCAGTATAAGGCCATGAACTATAAAAATTAAATGATTAAAAAAAAAAAAACGTCGCACAGAACAGTGCTCAGTCAAGACCACGAAAATCTCACCAAGCACAGCGAGCGTGTGAGTGATCTTGTCTTGTCCGTAAATATTTTCCACCATGCACGTGTAGTCGCCAGCATCATCCCTAGAAACGCGCTGAATCAACAATGACCCTTCGGGCAATCGGCGAAGTCGTTCGGTGGGAGCAAATGCTGCGCCCTTGATGCGCCACTGTATTTCCGGCGTCGGAGTTCCGACGGCATGGCACGGTAGGGTAACGTCGTCACCCGCCTTCGCCTTGAAGTCGTCATCAAAGGAGGAAATTTTCGCGGGAACTGCAAACAATTATTCGAGTCAACGGTCTGGTCAACTTGGTTAGAATTCAAGTCACACCCTTGGCATTTGGCGCCTGAGTAATGGTCTTCGATTTCTTTCCTTCGCCAATGATGGTTGAAGCTGTTACCCAAAATTCATATTGAACGTTCGGCTTCAGGCTGCTAGCTTCATATTCGCGCTGGAATGCAGGAACTCGTTGCTTCTTTCCCTTCTGAAAATCATCGAAAAGAAAAACCGGGCAAAAATTATTTTATATCTGTCGAACATTGATTAGCATGCGTTCTGTCATGAGATTCAGAACTAAAAAATAATAATAAGAGGAGAAAAATGTGAAATTTCTTCGTATACAATGCATGGGAAATTTAAAACTTGTAATTTGCGAATATGGGTTACGATGGGAAACAAAATACAATATTGCCTCATAAGTTCCGTTGACAGAAGATCAAACTCTATATGTTGGGAATTAAGCTCATGTATATTCTCATACAGTATTAAACTAAGGCCTTCCCTTGAAAAGCGTAGCTATTTCATACTCGCCGACTACTGTAACATGAAAAATTCAAAACGGATTCTCGAAGGTTTTCATAGCCTAGGCCTGGAAAAAAAATTCAAGAAGGGGTAAGTTTATCAAAATGTGCATTCACCGACATACAGTACTGCAATGTGTACGCTTATGCATGCTGAAAGTGACGCACGCGCGCGTACCATTTGTAACTACGAAAGCAGAATTAGTCCTCGAACAAAGAACCCATTTGAAGCACCTTTCACAGGCGTAATTTCTGAAACACTCCACCAACTTCCTCTCAGTACCGTATGCAAATTGAAATGCTTAGATGCACATTATTCGTCAAAGCTTCTTAACGGTTGATGAACTCTTTTATATTCCTGAGAAAAGCTTTGACAATTGTACACAAGCGAAAAGTAGCATACGATGAAAGGTGCGAATGAATGGATCGTTGAATTGTAAGAAAGAAATTAATGACTGCATCAAAAAGCTACCATGGTTATTTAGCGGGATAGCTAACGGTTACTTCATAGCTATGAAAACCACTCAGATTCGTTAAAACGCAGCGCCAGAAATCAACGCCATCCCCAAATGCAAATTAACAGAAAAAGACGGAAAATAAACCAAACCTCACAATCCGAAAATCAAGATTAGGTTGTGTTCCTCGCCTTAATAATGAAATTCTGTGCATTCACCACTTACATCTTTGGAATTTTTCTCCTCCTTAATGTAAACGGTATATTGAGTGATTACGCCATTGGGCTCCGAGGGCTGATTCCAGCTGATCAGAATGCTGTCTCCACTCATGATCATGGCTTTGATACTCTGAGGCGCATTCGGCACTACGGATTGAAAAAATCAGTTTATCTGGGGTTTGAGGATCGACGTTCAGCGATTTCATGCAATTCATGGAATGGATAAATTGCATGAAATCGCTGAACGTCGATCATCAAACATCCTCAAGAGCATGGCAGCAGGATAAGAATAAAGTTCCAGTACTTCGTGTTATCCGCCTGTCACACTGACCTCGTTTCATGGTTCTCAATTCAGTACAGTACGGTACTTTTAAAAGTACTCACCATCCTGGCCAGTGACACATGAGACGAAATCCGAACGAACTCCGTCACCACCGCCAGTATACGCAAGTACTTGAATTGAATAATTCGTGTACTTCCGAAGACCGTTGAGTATTGTTTGTTGGGGTGAGGCATTCTCCTGTACTGGAGTGTTCCGCACTTCCTTAGTTTTGTCGTCTGAAACGAGCAGAAACCATTCGAAACTTCAAGACGATGTTTTAGAAAGTACGTTATCGCACGCAATAATTCACGGTAAAATAGAGAACGTAATAAATAGTATAAAAGTGAAAACATAAAGGAAAATCCCTTCCAAAGGAAGACATTCCAATCCCGAAAAAGCAAATCAGGACTTCTTTCGTAATAAAGAGATGTACAGTACATTTTTTGTCGCGATGAATCAGAATCCTCGTGAATACTTACCATACCAAGTCTCGGAGGGGCCGTAGAACACTTTGTATCCCTTGATGTTGCCATTTGTCGAGTCTTGTGGAGGAGGATCCCAAGTCACACGAATCGTTTGCGATGTAAGTCCAGTGCACGTTACGCTCTGCGGTGATGCTGAAGGAGCTCCTTCGGCAGTAAAAGTTTCCACAACATCAGACATAGGTCCCGAGCCGATCTGATTGTACGCTTGAACCACCACTGAATAAGCCGTGAATGTCCTAAAAGAGAAAAAAAATATTCTCTTTCCAAAATACCAAACAACAAGAAGACACGCGCGAACTTCGCATAGAGCACATCATGAAATTTAGATCCGCGAAGCATTGAAAAAATATTCCGATCGTTGAAAATAACGTTTCAGTGCAAAACTTCGGAGAGTTTACATCCCTGATGCAACCTTTTTTTCTCAAATTAAAAAGGAAAGATCAGGAGAAAATAAACTTGTCATCTATTTTTGGACGATTGCATTTGAAACATACTTGAGATTCGAGAGTTGTAAATGATGCTCCCTGTTGCGCTCGTGTGAGTATTCGACTGTCTCGAACAGATACGGATCTTGGGAGTCAGTCAACTTGTATCCAATGTAGTATCCTTGAATATCTCCGTTCCATTCATCTCGCGGAGGTGGCTGCCAAGTTACTTGAATCGTGTGTTCATCGACCCCTTCCAACTTCACCTTCTCTGGCGGGGCACTCGGGGCTGCAATGAGTAAATGAATTCAATCAGAGAAATTCTCGGTTTTTTTTTCGATAGTATTTCAAGCGAACCTTCTTCTGCGGTGATAATCGTGACCACGTCTGAGGCATCGGAAATTCCGACTTCGTTCTCGGCAAAGATCCTCAGGAAATAAGTGGTTGCTGGTCGCAAGTTGAACACACCAGCTCTCGTCTGATCTCCAGGGATTTCCACTCGCTCGTTCACATCTTCCCATGTTCCTGAACCGCAAACAGACGATCGATGTTAAATTAGAAATACAGAAATCGTAAACTTGAAACAAAAGTTTCAAATGTCATAACTCCACACTTTAAATAAAAATAATAATCTTTCCTCGAAATTTACGAAAAAAAAGTCAAGATCAAGTCAATGATCTTGACTTGAGTTTCAACGATCTTTCCTCCTACATGATCATAGGCGGTAAACGATACTACCTTAACAGCTGGGAAGATTTAAGCCATTACAACGGACTAGGATAAAATAAGCGAGATTAATGTCGAGAATATTCTTCCCGAAATGAGCTCTAAGACACTGGAATGTGGGTAAAACGAGACGTAAATTAACAGCGAAAATTACGTTTTGAAGTCCTGTACTCAATCGAGTATCGCGTGAGAGGAGAATTCCCATCGTAAGGAGCGTTCCACTGCAGTTTCACGGATCGTCCATCTTTGTCAGTAACTTTGATGCTGTACGGGACTTCCGGGCGCTCTGTTGTCAGTGGGACAAAGGAATTTGAAGCGTCACCAAATGCTGGAAGAGCAGCTATTCTCGAATCGTACCTTGAACGATCAAGTTGATCGACGTCTCATCGCTGCCGAAAGCATTGGTCGCACGGCAGCTGAACAAGCCGGAATCCGTGCGATCTGTCTTCTTGATGCTCAAATCAGATTTTGCCCCGCTTGAAATGACTTCAGATCGAACAGTGTACCTAGAAAAATTGAACAATTTAGCCTCATGCATGTACACTTTCTGCAAGGAAGTGTTTACCTCGGATTCAATTTAGGGTCGATACGCTTATCGTTAAAGTTCCACATCACTCCAATCGGCTTCTCTCCTTTGGCTTCACATGCCAACACAGCTGATTCTCCTCGTCGCGCAGTTTGATTGCGGTACTTGATTTCAAATTGAGGCGGAGCTGAAAATAACAGGTGAAAAGTTTTTATACAATCAATAATTGAATTCTCCAAGCGTCACAGAATTCGGAAAAAATCCTCAAGTTGAATCCAACCTCCGATTCAAAATCGATAATCCTTCGACGCAAACAAGAAAAAAATCACTGAAGATTTGATCATTCACAATATTGTCCATAAAAATTAAAAGGATAGCACGATGAACTGAAGTGCAAAATGACGAGGACATTTACGAAGTTTTCCGACTTACCCGTTAGCACCCCAAAGTTGTCAAATAAAAATTTAGAAGTATTCCAAATTTCTGCGATTTAGGCCGGCTAATTGAACTCAATCTCCGAAGTTCAAATCCAAGATGCAAAGCAAACAAAAGAGTAGGAACAAATTTTCAACAGGAAGTAGCTCGCTCATGAACAAGAAAGCAGAGGTGTATATTGACAAAACCTACACAAGGTCAATAATATTTTAAAAATATTCCAAACGTTTCACAGATGCTTCATTTGTGACTTAAAACCTTCTGGTGTGTTTTAAAACCGGAATTGAAAATACATTGGGTGCGAACCAACACTATAGAAATTTAAAACTCACCTTGAACATTGATGTACGTGACAGCAGACAATCCGGCTCCAATCTCGTTAGTCGCTTCACAAAGATAATACCCTTCGCTGCTTTTCTGGATATTATGCAAGTGCAATGTGCCATCATCAGCAACACGGATACGAGGATCATTCGGAGGCAAATCTTGGTAATTTCCGGGTCTTGGTCCTGCAAAAAAATATATCATTTGATGCAGTTACTTTTTAAAGATTCGTCATATCGAAGCTGATCTCTCACCAGCTGCCTTTTTCCAGGAGATAGTCGGTTTCGGGAATCCATCGGCCTTGCACTCAAGCTGGGCATCACTACCCAAAGCAAATGCCTTGTCTTTTGGTTCTACGATCCAGCGCGGAGGCACTGAATAAATCATGAAAAATACCGATTAGTTCCACGAAGTGAAATATCCTCATTTTAAATTCACAGTTACTTTAATTGAACGGTCATGTTAAATTTACTTCAGATGCTTGAAATATGAGCCGTTCAGATAGCGATAAAAATTCTACCGAACTGATCCAGCAACAACGCAAGTGATTTCCCGATATTCAAGAAATGACGGGCGTTGTATCGGTACAGTTCCTCGTCGTTGTTTCCAATCGTCGAAAACAATGGTAGATGCATACTTTCGTCTAAACACTGATACTGTACTTGAAATCGTGATGAGCATAATCTCGTGACTTTCGATTCTTCTCACGTAAACCAGATAAGTACTGTAGTATATTTTCAAAAATACGATCCCAAGGTTTCCGACGATTCGACATGCAACGTGATTAACCAGAACACATTCCGAACGAATAGACCAAAAAAAAAGTATGTAACGTTCGAAGTATGCTCCGGCTGATCGTATCAATAAAAACTACACCAACGAATCTACGATTGAAAAGAGAAACTCAGCCGACAGCCAAAGAACAGGTCAAAGTATTGATAACACATGCAGAAAAAAAGACACCACAGAACCAAGAGAAAAGAAAAGGACAGAAATGAAATCAGAGTTGCAGAATAGGCTTCCCAGTAGCGCCACCTCCCTTCAGCTGACCGTCTGAACACACGGTACCGGCACGAGGGGGATATTTTTACCAATTAATCAAGGGGGGGGGGGGGGGATCAATTAGGGTCCTGATACTGTATTCGAAAGTGCGAGTGTGGGGATGTTTTACTCATGTATCACGAGAAGTGCTGATCGAGAGTTCCGCCGATGCACCAAAGCGAATTTTCAAAATTCATGCAATCGAGCGACTGAATGCTGCGATAGCTTTCGTCGCGACCGACATTTCATCAACGAAATCAACGTTTGGAAAACGCATGGGCCTTCGCTTGTGCAGTAACCACCTGACCCACATGTAGTCAGTGATATCTTCAACCATCCTCCGTTTTAACTATTGTTCCTTCCCAAAGGCATCTTCCGGAATCAATAGCGTGACTCGAAAAACAAAAGCCCAACAACCACCGAGTTGGATAAATTTTGTGCAGCAGCACAGCTTCGAAGAAAGCGAATTTTATCTTAGCATTATGACTTCCTGGTAAACAAAGAACCACGAATAAAACTCAATATCCCTTTCTTCCTGCGACCAAAGCGATCGAAAAATCATAAATGATGACGTGGCAGCAGCATCATGAAACATTTTTAGGGCTGCGTTCACGCCCTCCGTGCAACTTGATGTTACGTGCATGAAATCATCCCGTACAATCGGATCATTGACTTGCTAATGATCGCTATAATTGAAAGCGGAAAGCGGTCTATGATTTCTACTTTTTAATTGAGTAGTTCAACATATATAACTTAGTCAAGGTGAACAAAAACGAGGCAAGAAAGCGCAGTGGGCGATATAAGCACGGAATCAACTGTAACCTAGCCAGAAAAGCAACGGCATCACATTCAAAGCGTGTTGAAAGCAAAATCATTCCGGCCAGGAGAGGCTATTTAACTGAACACGAACAATTCCGTCAAGTATGCTTCATATATGCTTTTGAATGACTGAAATTACTGTCAAATGCCTAATAAATGGAAAAAATACGAAATTTGAACTTGAAGGACTCATCGTGCGGCCCAGCGTTGGTGTTAAAAAAAAAATTAATTGAAGACCCAATCAAAGATTTTACATGAAGAATTGCTCTGAAAGAATTTTCCAGATATCGGAAAATCATGTTTCATAATACGCTCGAAGAATGAAAAAAGCGGTTCAAGCGACTGAACTCCCGCACGTGAACTGAGTATAGCCCAATAGGGTGTTCAAAAAGGTACTTCGCAGCGAGAAATTTGTACCGCAGTACAGTATCATTTGACGAATCGACCTAATTTGTCCGTCACAACGAAGAAATAACTGCTTTAGCAAGGGCAGATGTCAACGAACAATGGAATTCGAAATTTACCCTTGAGATAATCACACGTTCCACCTGCTTAGGGTTGAGCGGGTTTTGGGCGGAATTTTCATGAAATGAGTAGAACCGATTTTTGAATTTACCCTACCTTCAGGAAATTATCTGTTAAGCTTTTTGACATACAGTTGGGCCCCAGCAATTGGACGATTTGACCTATGGATGTTTATAACTCGAAAAATCTGACCAACAACTGGACGAGCAATGCCTCAAGATATGGACACTTCCATAAAAAATATTACAGATCAACTTTTGAACAAATTTCTTGAACAAACTGAGCCACCAAAATGAACACACGGTACTCTTAAGTCAAAATAAATATTTTTTGCGTTTGTTTTGGTTTACAGAATTTTTCAAAACAGACTTGTGATTTTGTGCTTGTCTTTTCAGGGTTTTCCACTCATCAACTATGAGTATAGTACTGTAATACATTATTTGTGCCCTGCTTTCTCCCCTTTTGGACTTCTTTTCATGGAAAAAATTTCAGATTCTGCACAGCTTTCTTCCGCACACTTTTTTATTGTCTTTTTTTTTTTGCTAAGTCGAGAACATGATTTTCATTGATTTTCGGAGGACTTTTTCAACTTTTTTTCACACATTAAAAAATATTAAAAATGGTTTGTTGAAGTCTACGGGAAAAAGCAACAGAATATGCGGACATTCTGACATAGTAGGAGAATTAATTACGTCCGTATCTTGGGGCCCCCACTGCGCCGTAATTATAACCGATTCTCATGAAATTCTGCGCGTGTTTATCCCGAATTCGGAACACACCACACCAAGAAGACTGACTTTCTCACTGCAAAGTACTGTAGCATCTTTCTGGACACCCTGCATATCGTCAGGGACCTTTCGGGACTTTTTCCCACAGAAAAGTCCCTTCAAAGTTCAACGAAACGGCGAGTACAACATGCAATCGCCCCAAGTTTGCACAATGAAAAAAAAAAAACTGAAAACAAACGCAATGAATAAAGACCCCCAGCAACAACGGCGCGAGGTGCGGCGTGAATGCAGCAAAGCCCAACCGTACCATTGACAACCAACACGCTGGAGAACCTGGCTTCACCAGCCTGGTTCGTAGCCACGCAGGAATATTCGCCACGGTGGTGAGAAGTTACAGTCTCTATGGTCAGCACGCTGCTCCGGCTATTTGGTTTGAACGTGGAGACGCCTTCGGCAGACACTCCGGCCCCGTTCATCTGCCAAACTATCCGCATGGGCAAGTCCCCCCGAGGCACGATGCACGAAAGCTGAGCAAACGCCAAGTGGTTCTGCGCGGATTCGTCGAATCTGAACGGCAGAATACTCGGGGGCTCTACCGGCAATCGATCGAAGAACCCATCTCGTGAAAGCGAATTCGCTCGTGGTCGTGCGTCAATTTTCCCGTTTTTTTTTTTCTCGCGACTCGAACTCGAACGAAGAGAAATTGCAAGTTTCAAACGGTGATACGGAGGAGGAAATCACCCCAGGGTCCCTCCCGAAAAAGTTACCCCAACATTGAACACACGAGAATATCCGTTTTTAAATATTTTTTTGCATTAACATTACCCGAAACTAAGAAAAACACAAGCGCTCGAAGAACCCATCTCGTGAAAGCGAATTCGCTCGTGGTCGTGTGTCAATTTTCCCGTTTTTTTCTCTTTTTTTTCTCGCGACTCGAACTCGGACGAAGCGAAATTGCAAGTTTCAAAAATCACCCCAGGGACCTTCCCGAAAAAGTTACCCCAACATTGTACACACGAGAATATCCGTTTTTCAATATTTTTTTGCATTAACATTACCCGAAACTAAGAAAAACACAAGCACTGGTGCTTTGCGAGGTCACTGAGATGCTTGTTAGCTTTTTCAGAAATATTTTTGCAAAATCGGATTCTCAACTGTGTTCGGCGAATGCCAATGCAAAAGGAGCGATAAAAACGGACGCGGAAAAAATGTGCAAAAATTTCAAAGATGTGGCTCGAAGTCAACATTTCAAATGATTACTTCGAATAAGAGTTAAACTGAAAAAAAGGACCAATCCGTAATTCGCGTACCCCGGAGACCCACGAACGTCAAACCAATATTTTGGTCGCACTTTGCCACACGAAATCTGCACTTCTACGATGTTCCCAAAACCCCAAATTCATGATTAGAAATGACCAGCATTCCGTGAATTCTATCGCTGATGGTTTCACACGCCAAAACTTTGAGGGGAAATATTTTCGTCAATGACAGGGAATGGCGCTATTGGGGATCCCATATTCTGAAAAAGAAAACCATATTCTCTCTTATTATTATTTTTTTTTTTATGAGAGACATCTCTTTTCCCTGGAATGCATGAAGACGATTTTACACAATACAAGTCCAGTCGTATTCTGGCGAATTGCACGGTTTATTGCTTAATTTTAAGCACATAGATTAGGATGCGATGCAAAAAAATTAAGTTTCCGAAATCAAAGGGCGTTGCAAATCTTGTACAAATCGAGAATTTTCTGCAGCAAACCTCGTTTGACAATTTTCATGATTTTTCTCAGATATATTCGAAATGCAATTGGATTAACGGTATAAAAAAAATGCAGATAAAGTAACGTAATGGGAATTAGATTTCACAAAATCCTGCGTTAAGTGACCAACGGAGTTCCACGTGCGGTATTTTGAAAGCAAGGGGGAAATTCCGTGAAGTCGGAGTAGTGTTGGAATGAATTCATGCAACCCAGTTTCCGCGAAAATTCACAATCTACACGAGGAGGTTCGACCCAGGGAGACCGAGTTTCCAAAAAACTCTACCATTGACATTAAGCGCAGCGGAGTAAGACGCTTCTCCGAAGGCATTCCTGGCGACGCAGGTGTAAACACCAGCGTGGCCAGCAATAATGTGCTCAATGGCCAGAATGCTGCTGCGCTGACCGAATCGTCCGGTCGAAATGCCCATCTGCGACGACACGTTACGGCCGTGGAAGTGCCACGTGATCGACAGTGGCGGGTCGCCGGTGTCGACAAGGCACTGGACCTGCGCCACACTGCCCGACTCCAACGGCTCCGTGCCAAAGCTGAACGGAGTTATCCTCGGTGGCACTAATTGTAATTTGAAATCAAATAACTCGCCAATTTAGTCCTTCTCCCCGTTTCATCTCCCCAGAGACAACAACTGTACCCGTCATTTATTTTCTCAAATATAGTCTGTGAATGCGGAACAATGTATACAGGAATGCCAGGGTTGAACTTCAGACCGATTTTCGAACATTACCTTACCAAAAACTGCAATTGCTAAATCTGGGATAAAATTAAATTAAAATGGAGTTTCTCTCGAATAGAATCGTTTCTTACGCTCTCTCCCCGTCATACTACGGCTGCCATAGCCATTTGAAGAAAAACTCCCTTCTGAAAACGTTCTAAAAAACGGGTAAACATTTATTCAAACCGCAATAACTCACCAACCAAGAAAGGCTGGGAAGTTGAATTTGGACTCGGGAAATTCACCTACACAAACTTTGAAATACCGCTAGTGCGCATCTTTATTTCACTTTTCCTGTTATGGTTACTGCGGCTATATGCGAAGAACATGATTCATAACGTTTCAGAAATTAGAGGCTTTTAAAATGCCCGTTTACATTACCCACATATTAGAGAAATAAAAATGCGGTAGCTATTTAACTTCAACGTTTCTGGACAAAACTTGAGGCCACATTTAAAATGTCAGCATGAACAGTTTTCAAAATGGTTATAATGATTGTTTGAAAATCAGACTTGAAATTTTCTGAGCCACCCCGCATACCAGCACGAATCTTGTTTGAATAACTCGAATACGAGCCAAAACCTCAGTTCTTTTAGACTTTTTTCGAAAAAAAGGTACGGCCATATCTTAGTGTGAATACAATTCTACACAATATTTTCCCGTCGGATTAAACCTCAGCAACCCGGCGTATTTTGCGCGAAATTCCGTCTCCCGAAGAATTTCCCCTTCGCGAGCCGGAAAACGAACCGTTGCGGAGTCCCTCAGCCGAATTCTTCGAGAAAATATGCCTACGATTTGTCTTCGCGATGCATCATATTTTTCAAATAATTTCTATGGCGCAATTCCTCATCTTTCCACCCACACGTTCTACTCGCACACAGTAGACTAGCAGAGCAAACCGACCCTTAAATGCGGTAATGTTCAAGCATGCTTAATCTCGAGACGGGAGGCGGCGTACCGGCAAAGAAGATAATCACTGTACGGGGAAGAACTTTCAAGACGGAAGTAATCCTCATCTTGCAAGGGAATATGCGTCTATCCAGGAAGGATCATGCCAATATAGATTGCTGAAACGGCCTCGTGATTAACCTTTGCGAAACGCATTCATCAGTAACCGCGTGCTGTTCGTCAAGAAAGGCGTCTCCGCGATTTCGTCAACTTTAAGTCGATACGAGGGTTGATTAAAGTCTGGGATAGCATACGTACATGTTTCGAAATCAATGAGCAAATCGAAACTGATGCTGAACTTTGTATATTTACTTTGGTTCTATTGTTAGCATTTCAGGACAATTTTCTATTAAACTGCATGACGAAAAAGGTGAACTTTTCAGCGATGGCAGGAGTACAGCATTGATTTCATTATGAGCCAACTTTTTTTAAAGCAGTCAATGCAGACAATCGAAGCCCACCTTCTTATTATTCGCATTCAATTTTCTCCATGTTCCAGTAAATGTTAGTACAGTTTTGTACACGCCAATTTAAATATTTTATTGGATAAAAAATGATTTCGGTGATCGCACAGTGCGTTCATGATTTTTTGCCACTTTTTTCATCGCGGTTTTCGAATTCAAGTCAGCAATTTTGAAGAGAAAACTTAACAATAATACAATAACTTACGTGCATGTGATAATTTGATTTTTTTCAAGAATTCAATGTAATTTTATCCAATTGAATTAATTTTTATGCACACGAATCCACCATGGAAACAATTTTCAATATATTTCTGTTCTACCCCCATGGAAGATGTTCAGAACGCATGAACGAGTTGAATTCTCATTTTCTTGTGGATCACAACTCAAAACTATTTCAGGATAAGTTTTCCCGTCAAAAATTCCTTCAATAAAATCATAAGTGTATATACTGCATATGAAAAAGCCCTGTATTATTCTTTAGCAGATGATTTTTCTTCTTGTTCTCTCTGAAAATTGAGGAGAAAAAAAAAACAGATAAATTTCGGCGCAAAACTGAGACTTAAACGGAGATTGCCCAAATTTTTTCTAAAATTACCCAGAGTAATTTTAGAAACAATTCGGAAATTCTGAAATTGTACTGGGGTACCAGGAAAGACACATTCGTAACAATTGCTTTCTTAGCTTTCCCTAATTTTTGCGGCAATTTAAAGCGTAATTATTGATCCAATTGTAGTTGCAAACTGTGCAATGCATGAAAAGGTTTCGTTTCTCATCATGCAGTGTGATTTAAAATCTTCCTAAAATTCAGAAATGAATCATCAAGAACCCCAGACATACCCTGCAACAAAATATTGTACAAAATTACTGTACTGTAGTTTCGATTTTACAAATATTCTGGAAATATCCCTGCCCGCGCAGACTTCCGAGTTGACGAAATACATTCTAAGACTCCTTCTCAGTACACTGCACGATCAATGCTCAGTTGTTCCTACACAGACGCACAGGCTAAGACTTTTCCGATCAACATTCCAAATGCAGTTAAGAAGCATCCCAAATAAAAACAAACCATACACGAGCCGAATTAGAGAATAGAGAAGGGGGAGGGGGAGAGTTAATGAATGAAATCAGCAACCGTTCACGACGAGGTTAGCCGAGTGGGTGTCAGAGCCGACTTCGTTGGACGCGGAGCACGTGTAAGTGCCGGAATGAGCGGCAGCGATGCCTTCGATGGTGAGCATGCTGCTGCGAGGCCCGAGTTTAAGCGTGGACACTCCGTTCGAGCCATTGGTGTGGCCCTGGAATGTCCAGCGCAGGTTCACAGGCAGGTCCCCGTCGGACACCATGCAAATCACCTGCGTGAACCCGCCGGCTTGCTTCGCTTCTCGCGTAAACTCGAACGGCGCGATTTTCGGCGGAACTGTCGTCAGCACCAAGAAAAACACATACACACACACATACACATGTTACCCCAAAACGTTTGAAACAGTTAATGAGCAATGGCACTTCGAATGATCAGCGTCTCGCACAACGGATTTCTTGCGCAGTAAATGTGGGCTTTCGCCTCGGAAAAAATAGTGCAGTAAGTGAGCGAGGCTACCAGCATAACTTTTTAATCGGATGAAATCTTTAAAGATATTCTTGACTGTGATGAGCACCTAATGATTTAATAATTAATACAGGAATTACATGAATGCATTACACAAATTTGAACCCAACTGAGGATAGAGAATCAGGTAATCAATTGATTTTGAGAACAAATAATCTTTCCCTAAAATGAAATTTATCAGATCAATGTCGATTTCCGCGACGGGGTGACAAGGAAGCATAACACGATGCAATTTTACGCTAATTTTCTTCCTTATCGATTTAAATACGACCAAGCCACAGCTCCCTATGAACATTAACATGGCTTGATTATGCTCTATGCAGGGAAGAAAAAGTGCTGCTTTTTTATTTGATCCGCCCAATTGCATTGAACTTTTCCATGGTGGAGATGAGGGAATATGCGGTCAGTGAAAACAGCAACATGGAGCGGGAAATCTGCGCATACATTTTTCGGCGGAATAATTGTATGCGACGGAATCCGCATTCTACGATTATGCAGATCAGGGAGTTAGTGAAATTACGCGTGTTGCCTAGTGCTGCGATAAATTTTGGAAGCTTTAGTTGATTTGCGTCTAAAAACTATTCATAATCTGCCGGGAGTCACGTGCTTGAAAGAAATGGCGACTAGCGAGAATCTTTGAGATACTCAACTTCCAATTACGGTGTTCGCACGATATCTTGCCTGGTTGCGAAATGTTCAAAAAAATGTACCCGGTTCACAGAACTTATAGTAATATAGTGTATTCTGTTTTATTTTATTTTTTATTTCCTTGTCTCGGTTACCGTGTAGGAACAGGTTTATGTCACTTGATAAATGTTCTGCCTCACTTGCAACTGCATATACTGTATTTTACTTTACTCCATAGCTGAAAGCCCATCATTTTTGTGATATCAAGTAACGCACTAAGCCAGGTGAACAGAGCCTCAGCCGAACACCAAGAAACCAGAGTGGAGAGTAATTTCAAATACTTGAACATGAAAACCTACTCCGAGGCTGCACAATTTAAGGCGGGGAAATCCGCATTCAACGACTCTGCAGATCAGTGAGCGAGAGTTGTAGCAAATTTGTGGGTAAAGCAGTCAATTTGCGTCTGAATAATGTCTATATCTGCCGAGTAGAAAGTAAGCAGGAATGCTCAGTCTAACTTTCAAGTGCCTCTGCTTTAACGAACCTCAATAATTCCCATGCTCGGGGTCCCACCTATTTCTGCAAATATTCAAGTAATGGCGACATTCAAGAGGAGAGCAGCACCAAAGCCACTACTGTATCTACAAATCCCAGGAAAAAATTAAAAGACAAAAAATCCAGCCTTCCGCCATGATTCGCACCGAAAACCCTGAGCTCGGCGGTGTGCTCGTCGTCCCCGACGGCGTTTTTCGCGTGGCACCGATAAGTGCCAGCGTGGGCCGCCGTCACGGCCTCGACCATCAAAATACTCGTCCGCTCGCCCAGTTTGGTCGTCATGATGCCAGTTTGCGAAGAGAGAGTCCGGCCGTGGACGCTCCAAGTGATTTTGAGCGGCAAGTCGCCTTCGCGGACAATGCACGCGATTTGCGCCACGTTCCCCTCCGTGGACGCCGCGGCCTCGAACTCAAACGGCGTGATTTTCGGCGGGGCTAGGGACATATACTTTCACTCGTCAGGGCCGAATTTCGGAACGGTGGGCACGACTGGGAATATCCCACACCCCATGGCAACCGCTCTCTCCGGGGGATTCGGCGACCACACTTGGCTTGACTTGGTAGAAGGAAAACCCATGCGATCGAAACTCTATCCCATCATCTTTCACGTCATTGTCGGAAGAAACCTCGCCGCTTAAACGCACGTCAAGATGGGGGTAACGGTAATTTCGCCAGAGAGAAAATGAAAAAAAAAAGGCGCTGGAGACACGGTCTGGCCTTGGAAAGTATTCAAGGGAATACATTCTGATTTTTGTTTTGGTGTAGAATACACACGCCGTACAGGTGGACTATCTACAACGATCGTGTCTACAACAAATTTCTCCGATTTCGAATATCATTTTTGTCTGATGAGGTTCTATCCCCACGTTATAGAGATCGTCTACAAATAATTTCTCTCTACAATGTTTCTTTCTGGTCCCTTGAATTCCGTTGTAGAGAGTCCATCCGTATCTCCTTACTTTGTGATTATGTTCCATAGCTTTGCGACATTTTCACCTAATCTCTTCTTCGCAAACATGTTTCCGCACAACTTTTTCTCCCGCGTCATTTCCTGATATTATTTTCTCGGAAGTCATTTATACCTGTCACGTTCTCTCGACAGCAGTTTTTCAATGACGTTTTCTTTCCCAGAGTTTCCTCCACGCCAGGATCTTCGTATTGCATTCGCAGGACTGATTTACAATCAACTCCGTCTTCGGTCAGCTAAAGGGAAGGGTGACATTTCCCCACATTAACCATTAAATCACAAGAGGGTAATTTAGGGAGGATCGCTCATGGGCAGAGAGAAGATCTACGTAATCGTAGAGATACATTTGGGAGGGAACCGAATAGCATGCTGTTTATGCGACATGATTAGAAATTGATAACCGGATGAACCTAGCCCGCAGAGAGAGAGAGAAAAAAACCGAAATGCTGCTGATACATTCCACAGTGAAGATGCCAAATATCGCAACATTTTTCCCACCGGAAACTTGCAACTGAGCAGAGAACTCGTCTTCCCCGACTTCGTTCTTGGCCAGGCACCGGTATACTCCGGAATGCGCCGCCGAAACAGCGTCGATCATGAGGATCTTCGTTCGCGGGCCCATTTGCATCGTGGAGATACCCATCGTGGAATTCAAGGACTGCCCGTGGAAGCTCCACGTGATTTTCAGCGGCAAATCGCCGTCCCGAACGATGCAATTAACCTGCGCCACGGCCCCCGCTGTGGACGCTTCCTCGTCGAACATGAACGGCGTGATGCGCGGAGGGGCTTTGGAAACGACGAGTTTACTGGACTTTATTAATCAAAAATCGAAACTTTCCTCGCACTACTTCATCGCTGTACTCGGAATGCTTTCGACAAGATGCCTCGATTCAAGGCCGCGAGGTCAGCTTTTCACGATCCCTTCATTCTTGCCGCCGACCACTCATGAATTCGCCAAGCAAATTACGGTATACGGAGAGCTCCAGGAGGAACATTCGACTCGCGAATAAAAAAAAAATTAAAATCGAGGAAGGCGTCAAATGTCCACATTCATTTTTCGTTGTGTCATTCACTGCGTCGCCTGAATGGAACGGGGACAGACAAACTTTTGCTCGGCGAACTGCCGAAGCACGAGGAGCCTCAGGTGACACCCATGTGATGGCCCATGAAATCAAAAGGTCGCGGACGTCGGGTTTATTGAAATGGGGAAAAAATAGTAACCTCTCATTTGATCAGGAGTCTCTCCCAGAACTTTGGAGGAGTGATTCTCCCTTTTTTTTTTTTTTTGCTAATTTGCAGAACCACCTTTACATTGAAGTCTTTTGCAGAAGCTCTTAGCTGAAGCCAGCCATATAAAATAATCGATTGTTTTTACCAGTATGATGTAAAAGTCTTGACGTGTACGGGATAGTGAACATGAACATGTTACGAACATGATAATTTATCTACCGTATTACATCTCAATGCAGTCCTTTATCTAACACGTCTTGGAATTCAGTCATATTTAATTAGTGTTTTCACGTCATATCACGCAAAATTATAGGTACATATTCCAAGTCTTTCCTTGACAGGCCGCGGGGCCTCTGGGGAAGCGCAGGAGTTTCTAGGGCTCCGCGGAGCACAGATCTCGAACCTCTATTACATTGTACAATATTCTGAGTTTCATCCCGGGGAATCCAAGTCTAGCTGATGGAATATGGCGCCAGGAAACGAAGGAATAAATGCATCGAAAGACCGACGAAAGAAGAAGAAAATTCAGCGAAAAAACAGCTAATGATGGATGGACTTATGCCGAACCGTAGACTTTGAGATCCGCGGAGAACACATCTTCGCCGACAGCGTTCGTCGCGAGGCACCTGTAGATCCCGGAATGCGCCGCAGTCACGGCGTCAATGGTCAGGATCTTCGTCCTGGGACCCACTTGCATAGTGGCAATACCCATGGAGGAATTCAACGACTGCCCGTGGAAAGTCCAGGTTATCTTCAGCGGCAAATCTCCGTCCCGCACAATGCAGCTGAGCTGCGCCAATGAGCCCGCTGTCGACGCCTCGGAGTCGAACCCAAACGGCGTGATTCTCGGCGGGGCTTTCAAGTGAAACGCGGGCATTTAAAGAGATATGCTCAGAAAACAAGGCCAATATTGCACGGAAGAAATAACGCGAAAAAAAAATCCAATCGATTCCAGGTGGACTTCTCTACAATTTATGCGATTTATATCAGATATATTATGCGGACAGCGATTTTTTTTCTGGTCCTGCACACCACGTACGGATGCACTCTCTCAAAATTAATTGATTCTACAGCGACTTCATCCACAGAAACATTTTTTCGGGTCCCATGAGACCGTCCATCAATGCATAAGCAGCTCTTCACGCCTTTTAAGTACTCCACTCGTACACAACAAAATATTTTCATCCGGTTTTTTAAGCATCGTTGCAGCTTGAATGTAACTGTCAACGTATTGAAGCCTCAGGTCCGATGTGAGCTATCATGTCATTAAAATCTGACGAAAAACCTCTTGATCATCACACCAGTTCCCGGTTCCGAGGCATTCATGGTAAGTAGACATGGATTTAACTTTCGCACTGTAAATACGCTAATACAGTACAGTATCCTGAAATTTTTCGCGAACATCACTCGGAAGTCAGAACCTATCCAACAATATTTTATTTTTGGTGAAGCAGTATACTGTAAAATATTTTCTCCAAAAAAATAATCAAAGTATCACGCACATTTTTAAAAGTCATACTACGCTCGCGTGAAACGACTCTCTTTCGATATACATGCGTAAGAAATGCATAATCGTCGACGATTATTTTACGAAGTTGTACTGTGCAATTCTTCGAAGTCAAATAATAAAAAAATACCCCAGTAGTTTTTGATGAAAATTTTCCATTTCGTTTAGCCCAGCAACAACGGTGCAAGACGAAGAAAACTAATAGTATGATGATCATCCCGCTGGGAAAATTCTGGAAATTTCGATTTCGAGATGCGATTGCCTTTCAGCTCATGAAGGGTCAAACGTCACGTGGGGCAGGGAACAATCATCGGGGAGCTGACGGGAAGCCCATACACGAATACAGAAGAAAAAAGGGGGAGTCGGAAAACGTGCAACAAAAAAAAAGGGGCGGCAGTCGGACGCCAGACCGTTGACTTCCAGCTCTGCAGAGACGACGTCCTCGCCGACCTCGTTCTTCGCCAGGCAGCGGTACACCCCGGAATGCGCCGCCGTCACGGCGTCGATCGTCAGCATCTTAGTTCGCGCGCCAACCGACATCGTGGAAATGCCCATGGAGGAATTCAGCGACTGCCCGTGGAAGCTCCACGTGATTTGCAGCGGCAAATCGCCGTCTCTGACCATGCAGCTCAGTTGCGCCATAGCGCCGGCCGTCGACGAGCCGTCGTCGAAGCGGAACGGCGTGATTTTAGGCGGAGCTGCCGTGACGTGAAAGCAAGTATCCATCGTCAGTTCAACCGGCGTTTCGCATCTCAGCCCACAAAATACGCGACATTTCATCGATGGGACTCATTACGGCGACAAGGGTTCCCGAATTGCGACCCTCGCAGCCAGGAAAATTCAAATTTGCGATAATCATCAGAGAACTACTCAGACGCATGTTTCATTACACACAGTCCGTGGGATAGTGGAGCTAAAGTACTGCACCATATTTACTCGAGTGAATTACAGTAAACGACGCACTATTTCAGAAAAATTGGCTTTCAATAAATCAGGGTGCGTCCTACTTTCGACGTTGTCGCGAATTCGCAGGAGAAGTCCATGAGTGCTTCTGGGGAAATTTTTTTTATTAACTATGAAATTCAATTGAAAGAATCTCGCCGACAATCTTCAGTTCAAGGAAAAAAATGTACGCATAAATATATGTTCCTGAGCTCTCGAGTGAAGCATGATTAGAAGCAAGTGACTCCTGAGATCCCGGAAAAATTGAACTGCTTGCTTAAATCATTAAATGTGCAGGTAAATAACTTCCATTAAAAATATTTATAAGGATCGTCTATGCTCTATGGCATCTCACATTTTAGCACATATGAAGTAGGCAACAAAATAATAATTCCGTCATTCACGGTGAAGACCATTTTACTCGTGAACGGCCTCGTGAATGCAATTGGTACCTTCATTTACAGCATGACAAAGGTCTAAAGGGATTCCCATACGAACTTGCTTCAAGAATATTTCTGGGGATGAAAAAAAAAAAAATGCTGGGAACCACGGGATTGAACCCTCGAGAATATTTTCCGTTTCGTTACGAGCCATGGAATACCACAAAGAGTTTTCCACCGGAAATATATTATCTTTCTGCTAGGGAATAACGATCAATCATAATCTTGGATTTCGCGATCACAGCACACGTAGACCATACTGTATGCATACTTTTCAAACGCTGGGTAACATACTGAAACATACCCGTCGATAAAATGGACTTCAAAAATAACTAGCTTTCAAGTGAGAAAAAAATTGGACGCGAAAAAACTGGTCAAGATGAAAAGCTGAATGATGTAACAAAGGACTTGATCTGGGTTAAGCAGGGAATTTTGCGACACTACCCAAAGCCCACACATCGCATTAAAAGTTTTAAAAACGATAGGTACGTCTTCACCAAGGTACAATAGAAGTTCCGGTAAATTTAAGTCCGGGAATACTTTTTTTTCGGGGACGCAAAATCTTGAGGAAATAGGATTACTCGACCTCGATCAAATATATGCGAATAAATATCGTTTTCTCCCTCGCATAGCTTGGAAACCTACAATGCCAGCGGGGGGAAGTCGCACTCGAAGAAGCGAACCGAGAAGTACTACGGAACTAGGAAACAATCAAGTGGGAAGATGCTTTCGCTGAAAATTTCCGAAATCGGCCAGTAACCAGAGACTTCCAGGATCGCGGAGAACTTGTCCTCGCCGGCAGCGTTGCGCGCGACGCAGGTGTACACCCCGGAATGAGCCGCTGCCACCTTGTCGATGCTCAAAATGCTCGTCCGAACGCCCACCTTGACGGTGTTGATGCCCATGTGGGTGGACTCGATGTTTTGGCCGTGGAACGACCAAGCTATTGTCAGTGGCAGGTCGCCTTCTTTCACGATGCAGTTTACTTGGGCCACGCCGCCTTCCCGTTTCGCCTCGTCGCCAAAAACAAAGTCTACGATCTGCGGCGGAACTACACAGCCCGACAAAAACTTATCTCAGTTCAAAGACGGTGAACTAATCATTCTCCAAATGATCAAGTACAGTAAACGAAACTGCGAGAACCATGCGATCGGCGTCGCATCGGTTATTATTTCTCAACCCTGCTATGTAAAAAAAAAAAGAAAAAAAAAAGAAAGCCGCTCTCCCTGTTAACATCAGGTCACTGGAGGAATGTCATAAGCTTCCGTCTTTACGCGATTACGGTCTGCAGCTTCTTGCCCGAAGTATGCTGTCAAAAATTTGAACAAAGCCTATACTCGAGTATAGGCCGCGGAAGTTTCAGAAGTGCGGCCTAGAACATATAAAATCCGCAAAGACAATAAAGAATTTTCAGGAGAAATAGAAGGTTTTGTCTTTAAGCAAAGGTAAATCAGAGACATCAATTGGAACCTTTTCTGTAAGCATTATTCTCTGAAAAAAATGTGTCATCCCAAGATCCAAAAAAAGTTATCCCTTCGATAATTTTGAAGTTTCCCACGACCAATTTCTAGCAATCACGCAAAACTCAAAAAAAAAAAACTTCAGCGTGAATGGCATTCAAATCGAACGAAACACACCGAAGAAACCATCGTTGATTGGTCGAATTTCACCCAAAATTTATCTATTTCGGCGATGTATAATCGCGTAACTACATGTACTCGGGTGCTCGAATACGATGTATGTGATCTACGATTTCCCTAGCCGTTTAAAGTTGAAATAAACGTCAAAATCGCTGTTTTTCATCAAATAATGAATCGTGCAAGGCTCTTTCATCGGATTACATATCTCGTTGAATAATTTAAAAAGGGCTCCTCATGTGGCAGCGAACGAGCGCAAACAGAATTGTAGCCTCCGTCGGCTGACAACACTCCATATCGAGGGAACTTCTGACTTTCTAGCAAGCGAAGATACCGAAGAGAAGGCCCGAAAATAACGATAATGTGATGCAAGGGGACAAAAGGTAGTGAATCCGGGGAGAATTTCCCGCAATTTTCAAACCGGCAGTCGCTTTCGTGCATAGAAAATTTTAGGATCCCAATTCGCGCGACTCTCGATTTTGTACAGCTACAGGGGGGCGTTCATCACTCAAAAAATTAGCTGAAAACATGTACGGTACTATCAATTAACTTGAGGCCCACTGAATCAGAAAATATGAAGAATAGTTTTTTGCTTTCCTTCCCAATTTTGCAGTGAATGTTACACACATTAGTATGGGAAAACGCGGCCATTACAACGAACCACACGTTGGAACAAATGCGGGCCGTCGTATGAGCTACCCCTCGAGAACAGTCATTGTGTCGGGGAAGGAATTCCTTTTCCGCAACAAACCACTGAAGAAAAAACTAAAGAAGAACTACCCGAAAACCAAACGTTAAAAAAAAACAATAATGCACACCGGAAACTTGCAATTCCGCGGAAAACTTTTGTTCTCCGGCAGAGTTCCTCGCGGAGCATGTGTAAACCCCGGAATGGGCCGCAGTGACGCGCTCTATGCTAAGGATACTGGTTCGAGCTCCAATTTTAAGCGTACTGATCCCCATGTGCGTGGACTCGATGTTCTGGCCGTGGAAGGACCAGGAGATCGTCAGCGGAAGATCCCCGTCATTCACGATGCAGTTGACTTGGGCAACCGCACCTTCTTTCCGTGCCTCTTCTCCGAAAACAAATTCTACTATCTTCGGCGGCACTGCACATAAAAGTCGTAAAGCATCCCAATAGAATATAGGAGATCGCAGAAGTCGGCTTTCATCATGTTCTCCGTAACAGGGATTAACGCGACAGGAGAAACACAACATCAATCATTTTCTTTTTTATCGCGCGATGCCGCACCAAAACACTTGAGTGGAGTAAAATCCAACGAATCCAAGCCGATGTCTATCTTCGGCGGCACTGCACATGAAAGTCGTAAAGCATCCCAATAGAATATAGGAGATCGCAGAAGTCGGCTTTCATCATGTTCTCCGTTCAGGGATTAACGCGACAGGAGAAACACAACATCAATTATTTCCTTTTTCATCGCGCGATGCCGCACCAAAACACTTGAATGGAGGAAAATCCAAGCCAATATGTTGAAAACAAACAGATTCGGGGCGAGGTATGCGAAAAAGCGATAATCCGCTCAAGATCACATCAAATCGAAGCGCATCCGATACATCATCCTTTAGAATTTCCCCGCCAATCTTCAAGAAAAAATTATAAAATATAAATGCATAAGGACTTAAACGTGCATTTTCTCTGTAATAAAAAAGTAAGCCTTGTGGAGCTCTTATTGGTTAATCGAAAAAGGCCGAATTAAAGACAAGTGTCAAAATTATGCGCACAATTTTGGTTATAAATCTGGGAACGATGCCCACCGAAAGGAAATGATCTCATCTCAAGTCCATAAAAAGTGGTTTCATGCGCAGTAATTGTTCAAATTTATGAAAAATGTTTGAAGGTCGGCGCATTTTAAACGAAAACTCAATCAAGTTCACGGAAAATAGCTGACCGGAAAGCAACGATCGTCCGTGCATGAAATCTTCTGCAACAGTGAAGGTCAGTGTGCAGCATTTTCGCGTGGCCGCTATTCAAACAATGGGAGCTAGAGATGGAAATTTCGAAAGAAATAGCCCAAGATTTATGTTGAAATCGGAGAGGGGTGACAGGGGGCATAGGTTGAATAATCCACGTAAGCTCGTCGACCCTTGACGATCTGCGACGATCTGATTCCGTCGCGGGACCAGGAAGCGGCGCCCAAGAAAATTTAGCTTGGAAAACAAAACTCAAAACAAGTACTGTCGAACTCTACACCTGCGGTTTTCAGCCGGTGGTACGGGTGCCATTGCTGGTGGTACATGAGGCAATCCTTCGGTGGTACGAGAATCGTTGGAAACTTGTCAGATAGTCCTAGAATCATATACACATACCATGCTCCCATCGTCTTTTGAGCTCAGAAAACTATTTTGGACCGAAATGTGCCACCGTATAGATCTAGAAGCTTTCGACGGCATAAACCTAATAACCTATAAGGTCCAGAATGAAGTTAAATGCAACTGATGAAAAATTTCAAGTGGATGACTTTGAAAATTTAAGCCTTCAAATGTCAATCACGAAGTGCAGTTGAACCTTTCAAAGTCGAATTCAAACGAACTCTGAAAAATCGCCTTCGAGAAAAATCGCTTTCTCGCGTCGACAATTTTTTTTTTTTAACGCGTGCAGAGTACTGTACTTCAGGAACACTTTATTCGGCTACTTATATTATGATTGTTCACTATTCATATATTTCCGACAGACAGAAAGTTGCTCCACACTGCAAATTTTAAAATTCATCTAAAAATAATAATTTTTTCTCGATTTTCTGGAAAAGGTGTTTCGCTCAAAGTTAATTACAAAATGTCCCGAAAATTCAACTAAGGGAGGTTGGAAACTAAACGATTTTGAGTTCGAAAGATCTAAAATTTATTTATCTTGAGGGCATTCGCCAGAGATTCTCAAGGGATTTAACTTCCGGAGGTTTCCAACTTCAAGGGATTCAACTTTCCTCAACCCATTAAGAAAATAAGGTTATACTGTAAAATAAATGCCTAAATACATGAAAGACTCATCACCGGTGGCACTCGACCAGATGGCAGTTCTTCATCATTACGCTGTCTTCGAAATATTACAATTCGAAAAAAGGTTGAAAAGCCTGATGCAACACGAAAGGGACATCTTTTCCGGATAGCACCATTTTCAAGAGACGACAGTGTCGCCGAGCCCCGTATGTAAGATCAATAGCTACCACTGACTCGACCAAGGGAAAAAAAAAAAAAAAACTGCGACTATCGTAGGTTTACTTTACATTCCTAGGAAAAATTACTAGGTGTATGCTCTGTAAAGCTTCCAGAATATGGCACATCTCGCTTCAAGATAGGTTTATAATCTTGAAAGTGCACGATTTAAAAGATTATATTTTATCCCGGAACAATCTAGCCTAGCGTATGGCTGAAACTACGTTTATTCGCTCATTTTAGGCTCCACATGATTCTAGGAGGTGACAGGCACATTCTTTTCGCGAAGCTCGAGAAACATGAGATCCTCAGGTGTTTATACAGAACAATCTCGCGTCCCACACCGTCCAGTTGGCGCATGTACCACGCTACTACACCACCGGTTGAAAAGCCCCTGCTCTACATGTTCCAAGGAAGAAAAAAAAAACCAAAAAGAAAAGGCTGATTGAATATAGACCGGAAACTTCGAGCACGGCCGAGAACTTGTCCTTCCCGGCCGCGTTTCTCGCAGTACAAGTGTACACCCCAGAGTGCGCCGCAGAAACGCGCTCAATGCTCAAAATGCTCGTCCGCGCGCCGACTTTCAGAGTGCTGATGCCCGTATTGGTCGACTCGATGTTCTGGCCGTGGAAGGACCAGGAGATGGTCAGCGGCGCGTCGCCATCTCGGACGATGCAGCTCACCTGAGCCACGCCGCCTTCTTCCTTCGCTTCGTCCCCGAATAGGAAGTCCACGATTCGAGGCGGCACTGCGCTCGCAAGAGGAAACAACGTCGATTACTGCCTTTTTCCTCAACAGCAGTGAAAAAAAGGCCTTTTCAGCCGCACCCGAAGCTCGAAAAACACGAGCACCGCAAGTGTTTGGAAGATGAGATCCTCGTTTATTATAGGACAATCTCGCGTCCCACACCGCGCATGTAACACGTTACTACACCATCGGAGTTTCCCCAGCAGTCAAACAGTCAGATTAAACCGAACATACCCTCGAAGTTCTGCCTTATACAGGTGGACTCTCTCCAAAACGAAATAAAGGGGACCCAACATCTATTTTTGTAGAGAACCCCTTTAACACGACGAGAGAACCCGATGTGACTAAAATAAAATTCGTTCTACGGAGAAACCCGTTGTAGAGAGCCCACCTTAATTTTTCTCTTCTCTGAATGAAAAGCCTACGATTCTTGGCGACACTGTGCCCAGAAAAAAAAAAAACAGTGCCGATTAAGGCCATCTTACTGCGCTGAAGTCATTTCTGCTCCGAAGAGTCGATTACTGAATTCTTGGAGTGCAGAACAATTCTGCTAGAAAAATATTTTCAGTCCTCCCACGTTTTCCCGAACAGTCACGGCATGAATAATTCCGGCAAAACCGTAAATATCCTCGAAATTCTACCTTAGTTTCTTTTCGGAATGAAAAGTCTGTGATTCTTGGCGGCACTGCGCTCATGAGAATTAAAAAAAAGTCTGACCACGGTCCTTCTTAAGGCGCTGAAATAGTTTTACTCAGAAAGATACGTATTTTCGGTCTTCGAATTTTTTCCCCTGCAGTCAAAGAAAGAAAATTTCCATGCCCAACGGAAATTCTAACTTAGCTTCTTCGCATCTGCGATTTTAGGGGGCGTTATGCTCGTAAGAGAAAACAATTTCGATCACCAGAAAATTGCAGCGCTAAAATTATTTCTGGCTGAAAGTTACTTTCAGTGAACCGAAATCTTCCCAACAGCCAAGTCATGAGAAAAAGAAAATCCTTAAAAATATTCCTTCCCTTCTTCCATGAAAAGGAAGTTCAAGATTTTTGACGGCATTGCTCTCAAGCGATTATGCAGATAAACACCTTTTCCAAGCAAATGAACAATTTATAATTGAAAGGTACACAACTTTCATTCCACCGAAGTTCCCTCATTAATCAAGGCATGAACAACTCGTGCGTCAACCGAGAAAATCCTCCAGATTCTGCCCAAGAATATTTTTTACAACCGTCGAAACAATAAACCTTCGTTCAAGATATAATTCTGAATATTATTCGTATCCACTGTAGTACCAAGCACCTTGTTTGAGATGAGATCTAACATTGAGGGGAATCGAGAAAAAATTTACGGACTCGATGATAATTTGCATTTGAACATTATTTCTTGTTTCAAAATTTCTGAGAACACGGTGCGCGTGGTACACGAGTGTGTATGGCAATAATTTCTTCAATTTGATTAATTCATCCGTGCTCTTCAGGGTTTCCAACCCGACCGTCAAACCGAAGTTCAGATGTCAGTTTCACCAGCGGACGGAAATATATTATAAATGACGCACGAAGTTGAATGGAAGCAAGCTTAAATCATAATCTTTATTGGAGTCTCCCGTCGTACGTAAAAAAAAAAATCGGATGATGATCATAAAAATCAGATTCAACGAAAAATGCATCCGCAAACCGATTTTTGTTTTCGCGGTTCGTAGAAATGAATCTAGAGACTTCGATACATGTCCAACCGTGTAAGTGTGCCATTTTTGAAACATCTGCACCAAGTTAAAGAAGCTTGTTCGAGCTTTCAACATACGAATATTGCACGATGTGCAAATATATGCCGAAGCGCCGCAGATTTACGCAATGTGGCATTGACCGCACTTTACCTTCGAGTGATCGGGAAAATTAATTTTCCATACGTCCAGAAAAAAACTTATCTTGTCAATTAAACGTGCCACAGGTGGCATCTGAAGGGAGGTGGACGCCATGGAGAACCCACGTCAAGAAAAAAAGAGCGAAGAGGCGAAGAAATTCACGGCGAGGAAGGAAATATACACGTTCGAACCATTGACGACGAGATCCGCAGACTGCGAGTTTTCGCCAGCGGAATTTCTCGCGGAACACGTGTAAGTCCCAGAGTGCGATGCAAACACTTTCTCAATCGTCAAAATGCTCGTTTTTTCGCCAATTTTATGCGTCGAAACCCCCGCTGCGCTGCCGTTGATTCGCTGGCCGTGGAACGTCCACAGAATCGTCAGCGGCGCGTCACCTTCTTCCACCAAGCAGCTAACCTGAGCAACGCCGCCTTCTCGTCGCGCCGCTTCTCCAAAACCGAATCCAGCCACTTTCGGTGGAACTTTCGAGAAACAAAGCGTAACCGAGAAACTCTTGAATCGCGGAAAAAAAGAGTGGATTCCCAGATAAAATGGAACCGAAATTGTTCTTTCTCCCGGGTAATGATTTTATTCATACTTACGAATGTTCTTCAGATAGACTCTCTCTCGACAATTTTCTCTGCATAAATAATCTTTCATGGCTCCATAGAGCTCTCTACAAGGAAGTTCCCTCTACAATCAATTTTTGTTAGGTTGCCTGAATTTCGTTATACAGGGAGTCCACCTATATAATAAATATACGCATGTGTCGAAGTCAAATCTTAAATGTAAGGATGGTTCAACCATTACACGTAACGAAATCTTCATCCCGAGGTCCGTCGTCGCCAAGCAATCCCGGTACACAGTTGATACATTTTAGCCAAGATAGTGATACACGAAAAACTTACTCGTATTTCGTCATTAAAACATTTTGGAACTTTGAATGCAGCATAATATTGCGCAACGCCCGAGGTTTTCACTCTCTCTACACCGTGTTATATGCATCGTCTTTTATTGCCCTGCGTTATGCCGCGATTTCGAATGGAAAATACTGTCCACCAGACTTTTCACTAAACGCAACGGGAGCAGTCATGAATTTTTCTCCCGGACTCATCAATACCGTTTCATCTAGAGTACCTGCAGCAAAAGAGTACGGTGCTTGGATCTGTGTGAGCATGCAAAATCCTCATCGAAGCTTCCACACAATAGTCTAAACTTTCCTCACAGTCGAGTCCTGTATGCGATAATGCACGAGAACAAATTCTGACACCTTCGATTGTAAATCAGGGATGCAAATCCCGGGCCAAAATGCTCAAAAATCCGACGCCGAGGGTCATTTTTCAGAATGCATTAGGCCTACGGGCGCGACTGGGAAGCCAAGAAGCAAGAGAGGAAGGGAAGAAAGGAAAAGAGCTTTTGTACGAAGGTTCAAGGTATAAAATGTCCCGCTCGCACCCTGGACTTGCAGCTGAGCAGAGAACTTGTGCTCGCCGACTTCGTTTCGCGCAGTGCACGTGTACACTCCGGAATGGGCCGCAGTGATTTTGTCAATGCTGAGCAGGCTCGTTCGAGAGCCGACTTTCATGGTGCTGATGCCCATGTTGGACGCGATGTTGCGGCCGTGGAAAGACCAGGTGATGGTCAGCGGCTCGTCGCCGCGACGCACGACGCAAGTCACCTGAGCCACGCCGCCTTCTTCACGTGCCTCTTCGCCGATTTCGAATGGCACTATTTCGGGTGGGACTGGAATGCAGATCAATCCGCAATTACAAACACTGACACACATAGGCATGGACAACGTCATGGGATGATACGAGCGCGCCTGAATAAAAATCTCATCAGTCTCTCCACGCAAGTCGACGGAAGCATAGACAAATACCTTATTTCATGAACTTTCTTTTTTGAAAAACCTGACATGTCTGTATTTTCGGGGAAATAATAGGGCACGTTTTTTTTTTGCCAGACGACAGAGCACAGCATGTGAGCAGCGTCCCATGAATTTCCCTTGATTGACACGGGAGGAAGCGTCAGCTGAAGGAAAGTGTGCCACAACACAACAGAACCCAATTGGATGATTTAAATCAAATAACCACGTCATCACCGTTGATGAGCAGTAGGGCAGTTCGATTATCGCTGCCCGCGCTGTTCCGCGCAGTGCATGTGTAATTCCCGCTGTGGCCCGCGATGATGTGGTCGATTGTAAGCAGCGACACCTTGTTACCGATTTTCGTAGTAGCCACTCCCATCTGCGACGATAGGTTGTGCCCGTGGAACGTCCAGGAAATCGACAGGGGTTCGTCGCCGTACGTCACCGTGCATTGCAGCGTGACGAACGCACCCGCGGACAAAGGCGCGTCGCCGAACGAGAACGGGGCAATCGTCGGCGGTACTAGCAGAGTTTTTCACGTTAGATATTTACAAAAACAATTCAAAAACTTTACGAAACGAAGTTCAGGTTCCTTTCGAACACCGAACTGACGCGTCGTCTTCGGTGAAGCAGTTGTCCGACTTCTATCGACGGTAACCGCCCAAAGTTGACTTTCATTCTATTTGATGGAAGTGCACAGTAACACTGAACAAAAGGGAAGTGTTACAAATTCGTGATAAAAACTCATATCTGCATGAGATATACATTTCCATCTTTACTGGAATTAAGACGCGCATTAAAAAAAACTTTAGCTTTAGATGAATTGGTATCCTCCTTGAAGTATTTTATGGTGTCTCATAGTAACAGGTTAAGTTCATGATTCCTTCTGACGAAGACTATCTTTTCGAACAAGAATCAATTCAAAACTCAAACATTACGCTGATGACCGACTGATGAGGAAACCCGAGAACCTTCTGATTCTAAAAATGCTTCAATACAAAATTGCGTCTTACGTTTATCCACATAAAAAATTGCTTAAATTTTACAGAAACAAAAAGTGAGATTCGTCTTAATATCAATGGCGCCTTCAATTCCAGTGAATAAAATACAGTAATTACAGTATCAAATTTCGGGAATAAGAAGTACAGTATTCAATTTTTATTTACGCAGAATGGTCCATAATACCCAGCCATATTCATTACTGTATATGTAATCCTGAACTTTCAAATCGATTAGGGAATGACCCGTTCAACTGACAATTATGTCACGAGTAGAAAGCGAGAAACCGTTGGGAATCGATTGCCTTTCGTTACCGTACTTCTCTATGAAATCGATATTTTGATGATTTCATAAACACGAAAACTGTCTCAATGATGCAGCTCTCTTCGGCAGCCGAGACGACATCATCATTTACCCCATCGCCGCGATTAACGTAATCACACTCCCCGTGGAAGGACCATCGAATGTAAATAGGCAAATTGCGAAGAAACGTGTAAATATGCAATTTGGCAATCGAATGTAAATAGGCCATCGAACAGCTATTCATATACGAACGGCAGCAATTCATAAAACCCCCGAAGTGGGAAATCTTGAGGCAGCGGCATCATGAGAAACTTGAAATACAAGTCATTTCTGAAATCGACCACTTTCCGAAGAAAAGAAAATTGAGGATTTGATCGTATGACAACTTAAAGAAATCTGACCGTCAATTCGAACGTTAATGCAATTTAGGGAAATATTACGAGCTTTTTTTTTAAATCTTTCGGGGCGAAATCAAATAGGGAAATCTAACTGGACCCGAACGATGAGGATGGATTTGGGACGGACGTGCATGAAACCCCAAACTTGACTTGAAAGAAAATCTTCAAGCATTGCTGGATTTCGAGGTGGCGCTCACTGGTTAGAATCCAAAAACAGCAGAGCAATGTCGAATCGCAGGGAGGACAAAATCACCATTGACAAGGAGATGAGCAGAGTAGTCAGCTGTGCCGACAGAATTCCGCGCAGTGCAAGTGTACTTCCCACTGTGACCAGCAACGATATGCTCGATCATCAATACACTCATCCGAGAGCCGAATTTCGAAGTGGAAATGCCCATTTGCGAAGAAACGTTCCTCCCATGGAAAGCCCACGTGATCGTCAGTGGCAAGTCACCCTCTGACACCAGGCACTGCACTGACGTCGTTTCCCCAGCATTAAGAGGCCCGGGGCCGAATTCGAAGTCTTTGATGATCGGCGGAACTACGTGTACAGTAATATTCATCATGATGCATATAATTACCACGAGAACATCTCCCGCCAAAATTCAACTGGACAAATCCTTGTTCTCATTTACGTAATACGGTACACCCAAGTACAGGTACTGTATTTCAAATCTCGCCTTCATAATTTATTGGATGCAGTAATGTAAACCAATCATGTAACGCAACAGGTGGCAGTCAAGCGATAAAGATAACGATATTCTCCTTAAAAGTAATTTTTCCTGGCTTCAAAATATATCCTGTCAACATACAGGACTGCATAAGCAACCCGTTAACAACGATAGTCCCCACATAACGAATTGTTTTCCAGTTTCCCGATTAACCATGTACAAATAATGTAAAACCCACATGTATTTCCTCAAAGTCTCAGAAGAGTTTGCGTCAAAATACTGTACGGTGCTAAATAAGCAGCTCTTCTAGAAAGATAGTCCCCGTACAACAAATAGTTTTCCGATCCCCTAAAGAACAGTTTACCAACATATAGCCTACGTGTACTGCTTCAAATGCATTTCTTTATTTAAAAAACAAGAGAAATATACTTCAACGATAGAATCTACACGATAAAGACGCATATCGCATTTATACAATTGTGCCGCCGATTCGAGCCACAATGTCGCATGACCTCGTTGTTTCCGCGATACAGTACATTTATTTGATTTATTTCCCCAACACGATCGTGACTAATGTGCGGAAGCTGAGGATTGAGCAGGAGAGACAATTCATTAAAAACGAATGGAGAGAAAGCCCGCTGAAGAACGATATGCGAATGTGGTGTGGGCCAAACGTTACGTACTGTATATCAATCGAAGTCGAGCCTTAGTTTACGAAAACAATCGGGAGCCATTAGGACAAAAGATCCATGATGCGGAGAGGAGGTCGCTCGGGAGGTGTCACCCGCTAAACGGAAGCCAGTAAGCATCTCGCTTCAACGAGAAGAAGGCGGAGACAAAAGGAGTCTCGAGAAATTCGGAGAACTCCGGGGGCGTCATCACCATTCACGAGTAGATCGGCGGACACATCCGCGGTGCCCGCAGGGTTCCTCGCGGTGCACGTGTACCGACCGCTGTGGCCTGCGATGATGTGATCGATCATTAGCACGCTCATTCGAGCCCCGATCTTGGACGTGGTTATCCCTAATTGCGTGGAGACGTTCCGGCCGTGGAACGCCCACGTAATGACCAGCGGCAAGTCGCCTTCTACCAGGCACTGCACGGATGCGGTTTCGCCGGCGTTCAGTGGACCCGGGCCGAATTCGAACGGTTTTATCAGCGGCGGAACTGTTCAGGAAATTTCCGAAAAATAACCACCTCATTTACGACACTTCGCTTCGTCGATCGCCGTTCATGACACGCCCGGACTGGGGTACGAAAATGGAAACCTCCCGTTTAGCTGATGATGTTGCCAAAGAATTTCAAAGCCCTTGATGCGAGATCATGAGACACGGGTTGCATAGTTTGGGGCTGCTTCGGTGTGGCATTCAGACCTTGAGAGGACATGCTATTTAAGCATATGCTGTAATCCACCCACTGTTCTGGTTTATCCTCGCATGTATCGCCTGAGTATTCGTTTTAAAACACGCAACTTTTTCCAAGTTTTAAATCCTCCCAGAGAAGCATACCCACGATTCAGCGAGTCAATTCCAGCTATTTTTCTGCGATCAAAGGTTTACAAAGTTTTTCCGGCACCCTGAGTGAAGGCGTTGATGTGATTAATGATACGTTGGCCCGCGAAGCACAGTATTTACAGAACGTGGGTACAAAGCGCATCAAAATGTTCAACCAGGCGATGAAAAATCAATTCGAATTTAAAAACCACCTTCAATTTGCGTTACATTTTTCCTGGTTTCTTAAGCCACGTTTTACGGGGAAGGTGCGCGTGGTACGCAATACAGTACTAGAGTTTCACGTACAGTAAACCGGTCCGTGAAATATTCTCCCACTTTCATCCGGCCGTGGATTATGAAACGTAGAGCAACAGTGAGAATTCCTTTTTTGAGGTTTTCACGAGGCATTTACTGCATTTGTATCACAGTATGTTTCGAGGCGCTACTGGGAATCCCCAAGGGCCGCGACGCGAACTAAAAAGGAAAACAACCGGAACCGATCGTGGGAGAAGTATCAGTCGTCACCGTTGACAACGAGTTCTGCGGAGCGATCCGCCACGCCGGCGGAATTCCGGGCAGTGCATGTGTAGCGCCCACTGTGCCCGGCCACGATGTGCTCGATCATAAGCACACTCATCCGCGAACCCAGCTTCGACGTCGTTATACCCATTTGCGACGACACATTCCGGCCGTGGAAGGCCCACGTGATCGACAGCGGAAGATCCCCGTCGGAGACCAAGCAGTGAACCGATGCCGTTCTTCCCGAGTTCAAGGGCCCGGCCCCGAAGTCGAACGGCTCGATTACCGGTGGAACTAGGAGAGTCAACAATGAGATGGAATTCAGCATAAACGCCAAAGAATGCCAATAAAAGGGGGGGACATCGGAGGATCTGTAGCAAAAAGACCATGGCGATCCTCCGAAAATCCTTTGCCGGCTAAGCAAGGTTCCTTTGTACAGTAGATGAATACTCCAAACTAAGTAAAAACTCGAAAATTGATCGCCGTCATGAGAAGCAGTCTTTGATGATCAAGATACGAGCATACCGGAAGACCATAAATACGGTAAAGTATTTTAAAAATCTAGTTGCATTGAGATTATGTGTTCAACACATTTTAAATGTACGGCAACGTTTGACAAGCATCAGGGGACATTTTCTTTAACAATAAAATCCCAGAGAAAATCAATGCCAGTTGCTAAATTTGAAACTTTGCGATTGAAAAAAAAGGAAAATCAAACATGGGAAAGCGCTGAAAAGAACCTTTCTTCTATTCAATGCGGGTTGGCGTTCTTGAAGAAGCGTCAACACAACAAAAGGCAGAACATTCGTAATCGTGATTTACGCATCATGAAATAGACGCTTGAGGCGGATGAAGTAGCAACAAAAACACGCCTGTTGAGCTGCAAATTTTACCACGAAGAAAAGCTTGAAGCGAATCCGTCCCAGTCCACAAATTTTCAAACAATGGCAATTTAAAGCGCACGCTTCCAATCGATTAAAGATTTTTGCGATAAACTTTACTTGCCAACCCGTTCCACTGGGAAAAAGTTCTACATCTCAGATTAATTTGCTTCACGATACTGCGAGAAAATCGAAAAATGGATTAGAAAAAAAGATTAAAATTCGAATGAGAACACGGAACGAAATGAAGTCAACTTGAGGACCTCATCAGCATTCGCGCTACAATCTCAACAAAACTTTCAATTTTGTGATTCCAAAGAAAATAAAAACGAGAATCAATCGTTAAAATTTTCGAAAAATCGAAGGAACAACAGAATAAGCTCAAGGAGATCGCTTCAAACTGATTTTAATTAATTACGTAAACCGGGGATCGGATTCACATGATTTTCATTCACGTCCTCTCGTCGTTATGGACTATAAATACAAGTTTCGAATCGAGATTTTCCATACAAGCCCATTTATCTTCCAACAAAACGGAGTTTTCTTCCGAAATCCACAAACATGTAGTTCATCCGGCTGCTCTGGGGATCCTCGCAAACAAAAACGGTCGTCTTTGTTGACGTACGACGAACATTCAGCACATTAACTTTACCATGTAGCTTCCATGTGCGAAGTTATTTGGCCATCAAGTGGCAACTGACATCAATCAGTTCACAGGTGAATTCGTGTCATATGCTAGGCAACCATCAAATTCGCCATCGGTTGCCCGTGAAACCCGACGCGTTTCCATTTTACACTAAAGGGCTTCAAGTTAACCTTGGAAAATAATCTGGTAGAATAAATCCTCGCTCGTGTCGGACGGTGTGCTCTTGTGATTTGACCAAGAAGTAAAAATGGTCACTACGGTCAGATGACAAAGCAATTCCCTCCGAAGTACGCTCATCCAGGAATTCCTTTTCCGAGAGGGTGGCAATGACGTTGCTTCACGAGCAGAAAACGTTTTTAATCGGGATTGCGACTGCGAAACCTTTCTGCATAGAAAAAAAAGCACTCGAGCAGATGTCGCGAAGTTACCATTAACAAGCAACCCGGCGGTGTAATTCGCAATCCCGGCAAGGTTCCGCGCAGTGCAGGTGTAATTGCCAGAGTGTCCAGCAATGACGTGTTGGATCATGAGCAGACTCATGCTCGGCCCCACCATCATCGTGGTGATGCCCATCTGAGACGACATTTCGCGACCGTGGAAGGCCCAGGTGATCTTCAGAGGCAGGTCGCCTTCCGATACTAGGCACTGCACTGAGGCGGTCTTGCCCGAATTCATCGGCCCGGACCCGAAGGAAAAGGGCTCAATGATCGGCGGCACTGTTCCGGAATTCAACGAGCAATCAGCAGTCTTTCACACACTGCTTACGCAGGATCAAACGCAGATTTCAGAATCAAATACTTGACCAAATCTTCATCACAGCACAGGGTATTGAAATACTGTACTGTGTACGAGGGGTTAGACAAAATTCTGCGGTTGCTTCGTAGGTATTGTACTTCACGGGAGCATTGAGTCTTGGGAAAAATAAGCGCTTCACAGCGATAAAAAAATGTGTTTCTCCAGGACCCCGACTCAAAATTTGCTCGCTCCCCCAAAAATCTTGAATAATAATGGAACTCGTAGAAATACGATAATCAGCTTGAACGACATTTCAGTCAGTGGAAAAATGCGGCCGCAAACTCTTACCTAATCCCATGTACGACATAATCACGATAATGCGGGCATAAATTACCTGAGCATTCGATTAAGATTTATCGCACTCAATGTGCAAGTCTCTCAGAGATAACGAATATTATAGCCACACGACATAACCCTTCATTATGCATCATCGGTGATATCTGATCATCCGTGACAATACATCTCGTCATCATCCCCGTTAGCTGAGATTCTGAATTTTTTACAATGCTGTTTACGCTATCTGTCTTATTCCATAAAAACTGAGGATATACGTACTGTACATTAATTATTTTTACGACGTCAATAAGAGCAATTCTAATTGATGCAATATGATGATCGGAGCAAAAGTAGCATGTTTCGGAATCCTTTTTTTGCGCTCAGTTTCAATGCACATCGCGATTACGGTTTACAAAGCTGCATCACTTTTTGAATAGCACGATGCCAGCACAGACTAGCATTTAGCAGCGAGTATTTTTCATAACGAGGATTTTAACATTTAAGTTGAAAAATCAATCTGACCATTGCATCGCTTTTTCAATTATTTGGCAGTGAATGTGGAAGACGCTTCTGGCAGCTGTTAGCATTTTTTTTTAATCAGCGAGCATTAAGTGCATAGCATATATTATTGAAGCATCCGCAAACCTACACCAAGCACTGCACATAAACTTTTAGATTTCATTAAAGCTTCGGCCGTCCGCACAAGACGAATATGCGAGACTTAATTTGTTTGCGTCTAAAAACAAATAATGAAATAAAACACTATAAATGTCCGACAGTGATGAAAACTTAGCTTCTGAAGTAACTTCGGATCTCAACAACTCACGTCTCAATCAGACTCAATGATAATTAGCGTAAACGCCAGCTCTGCTCAGTTGTCGTGTTCCTCGACGGAAAGTCTTAGATGAGTTTCAAGCAAAAGCTGAAGATTGCAAAGGGTCAATCGTGGTCCGGCTCAATTCCCGCCATTAATAAAGGAAATAATAGCACGGCTCAACTAGCATCTGCTTTTCCGGAATTTACTGCATCAGAAAGGTCTGACTGGGTGGACATCCAACAAGAACGGAATCGTCCAAAATGGGCACCCTACAGAGTGTTTCAATAATTCTCACAGCCTTTCTGCAACCCTGGTAAAGAGGAAGACCACACAGAGAGCCGAGGAGACTGATCTATCAGGGATCCCGATTCCGTTACCGTTGACAACAAGCCTAGCCGTGAAGTTAGTGAGCCCGACTTGGTTCTCGGCGGTGCACGTGTAGTTGCCACTGTGCCCAGCTATGACGTGGTCTATGACCAGCATGCTGGCCCGGCCGCCAACACGCGTCGTCGTGATGCCCATGTGGGACGACACGGCTTTCCCGTGGAAGGCCCACCTGATGTTGAGCGGCAAGTCGCCTTGGCCCACAAAACACGTGATCTGGCTGCTTTCGCCGGAGAACAAGGCTTCCGGGCCGAAGGAAAACGGCGTAATGACCGGCGGAACTGCAGATTGTCGTAACATTGCCAATAAGTTGCTTTTTTTTTCTTGCGTGTTCATCGGAATTACTCAACGTCCTTCCTTCTGCGATAGCACCCTCCCCACCACAATTACCCAAGCTAATGACCACTGTCGTTGCCCGGCTGGTGAAATATCACTTGCATTTTACAAACGGCCTAATATCGTTCAATAATACTAATTATCCCGTAAATCTTGCAGTACTATAGCATGAACGATTAGAAAATCTGCAAAAAAAAAGTTTTAAGCAACTAAAAAAATTCTGTTATACAGACCGACTTTCTCATTCCAATGAATCAAAATTTTGATCCAATGCCCGATTTATCAGAGACCACGTAAATAAAGTCCCACTGCACTCAGCTCTTGTTCATGAATACCCATTGAATCACACTAACGCACAAGTATTTCTCACAAAATATTAAGGCAGTACCGAAATACACCCAATGACATTATACAAAGAACCTCTATGCCTCAACTGATCGACTCAAAACTGCGTACGGATATCCAGATTGATATCCGTACGCTGGATATCGATCCATGGAGAAATATGCCGTAGTCCATCGGGAAATGTCATATCTTGATCATATTATTTTAAGAATACGCAGGACACAGAAAAATTATTGCACAACAAAATGGCATCAAGAGAAAATGGCATCAAAATATTTAAACGGAATTATTCTTCAATCGGAAAACTTCAACGTCCGTAGTTTCACCTAATGTTGATTCCATTCCCTTTAATCAAATATTTTGGCGTGGGATCCGATATGCTCCAATAAAATATGTTTACTAACGCAAAATCATCTCATCGTTGACTTAATCAGTAATATTGTTTGATTCAGAACTAACCATGCACGTGTCCATTATTTATAAGAGAAAGAATCATGATGACAGTGCTAGAGACATTCGTTTTTGTGTAATTAATCTGTCGACTGTTGTGAAGTATATCTTTTCCACGAAAGAAACCATGGAGAAATATGTCAGCCCGTAGTGAAATGTCATAACTTGATCACGTTATTTTAAGACTGCACAGTACGAAGAAAACGTACTGCACAAACTCTACCAGAAGATTACGTCATCACGAGCTAGAATTGGACTGCAAAATTTATCGAAGTCAAAATGAACAAGAAATCAGGGACGGGTTAGACATTCCAGTTTAGTGCTCGCGTCAGAATATATATCCGAAAAAAAACCTGAATTAATAATTGCTTCGTGATAATTTTTCCCGTCTAAATGCCCAACGATGTAGCATGCTGAACGATTGGAATCGTTCGGCCCAAAACAAGACAAAAAAAAAGATCGTCCAGTACCGGTGACTGACCGAGTCAGGCGACAGAAAGCATCGCAAGGGAACCCTCCAACTATGACAGCAGCCCTACGAAAAATATGTCGCAGCACAAATAAATGCTGTACCATTAACCGTCAGATCGGCACTGTGCTGAGCAGTGCCAGCGTCGTTCTTCGCCACGCACGTGTACGTGCCACTGTGTTCGAAATGAACGTTCTCAAGTGTAAGCAAACTCGTGCGCGTCCCAACTTTTTGCGTCGAAATGTTCGGCGACTTCTCCACGGACTTCCCGTGAAAATTCCACGAGATGGTCAAAGGAACGTCGCCTTTGGCCACGTAACACGACAGCTGACCCCCGTCCCCAGGTAGCAGCGGCCCATCGAATTCGAATGGTCCAATCACGGGCGGAACTTTTGTTCAAATAAAAACCCCGAGTCATGAACGCATTGCGATCCTTGACTTGGCTGATTCAGCCAATAACAATGTACTGTACATCTTCGATCACGCGGAATATACAACCTTCCTTCTGACCGAATGTTATTTCACGAAATTGAAAATCAACACCTTATTCTGCGCATTTTTGCAGTTCGCGAAATTGGCTGAAAGGTGATCATCGATTAGGAAATGGACTCGTATCGCGTTGGGGACAAGTAGAGGCAAACTCACCCATGACGCTGATTTGCAAGTCTCCTTTGGCTGTGTATCCCTGGGTATTTTTCGCGACGCAATGGTACGTTCCCTGATCCGCATTTCGCTCCACTTCTTCGATAATGAGGGTGCCGTTCGGGTACACTTTCTGACGCCTGTTGATCGGCAGAATCCGGCCGTCTGGAAAACACATTGATGAGAGTTCAAGTAACAGGCGCGTTTCGCGGTTTTGGTGCCTGTCAGCGACACGCTAAACGAGGAAACTTTTAACGATCGATGCAAGTGATTTCGACCTCAGTCACGTACGAAGCGGAAAAACCGCGAGTCAAATTAACGAGGGTTTACTCAAAAATCTGGAGACTAACCCAAGCCCATTCGCTTATAGCACTAATCAGAAGAATCCAGAGAAAAAAGGTCCTCTTTTAGAAAATCGTTCTAGATTTTAAAGAAGCTTGACCCCATTAAAAACAGCGGGAGAGATTACATTTTTCCAAAAGTTCGGTGCAACAGGAAGGAAGACCTGAAGGAAATAATTAGATTCTAAGGCGATACCTGGGCCAATGAAAGCAGAGAAAATTCGGAGAAGTGGCCGATAATAAAACACAAGAATCTTTCAAGGCCGTAAGGTGAGAACCATTTTTGAGAGGTGATTACAACTTTCATATTAAAGAGTGCCGGAAAAAAAAAACTTTCGGCGAAAATGTTGCAACTGTAAAGGCAGCTGTCGGAAAAGATGATCGACTGAAAGCAGCTGCGAAAAGATGATCGACTCTCGACTGTGAAGAAGTTGAAGCTCAGTCTTACAATGAACGCCTCTTCAAGAAAAACCGAAGTAGACACAAAATTAGCTAGAGCAACTGGCGAGAATTTTGAGAAACCTCTCGCACAATGCAAGTACAGGCACTCTTCTTTTGATGAAATACACTAACACGAATCTGAACGTCGAAGAAAAGTTGACCGTTTCGTCTCGATAATTCCTTCACGATCGTTTCTTTCAGAAATCATTCAAAATACTCAATAAAGGAAGAGTTCAGAAAACGCCAAAAAATTTCGAGGGCAAGATTTTAGGGATTTACGTGATTTCTGAAAGCTGTTAATCATTAGAATCGCATGCTTGAATCAATTGTAAATTCCATTGGCCTTCTTTCAAATAAAATCACGTTAAGAACCGGCATCCGCTGAGCATGATCCCCCCAACAAAAGGGTCTCTTCTGTTGGTTTGCCAGTCCTCCGTTGCTGAATCAATTGGTCTCAATTATCATGTTGATCTTAATTAATTCAGGTCAACTTTTAAACAATTAGTTTGCTTTGATAAGCTGTAATTAATCCGAGTGATCATGACTGCAGTGTACTGTAGTCGAGTATCAGGTGACTTACTGCGTTCCCATGTGATGCTGTGGATCGGATACCCGGCCACGGGGCAATGGACGATGAGGTTTTCTCCAGCGACGACCTTCTTCGGGTCCATGGGACGCACAAATGGCAAACCGAAGACGTTAAGCTTCGTCGCGTGCGACACTTCACCGACTTTGGACGACGCGATACACCGATAAAATCCGCCGTCGTGCGCGTGCAGCGCCGTGATATTAAGATGCGACACGACTTCCCCGAAGCTCGAGACCTGCTGATTAATTTGCCGGCGATCCGTGTTCGTCAACACTTTCCCGTCGAGTTCCCACGCGATATCCGGTCGAGGATTTCCAGTAGCAGAGCATTTCAGGAAGGCGTCGCGGTCCGAGCCCGGCTGCTTTGTCATCTCCGAGAAGGTGGACGTGAGGACAGGGGGATCAACTGTCAAAAATTTAACGTCAAGAAGCGTGCATTAATTGTCACGATAAGTAAGCAAAAAGTTAGTAGGTTTACAGGAACTATGCTCACAATGCGGATGAGTTTGAGTTCATCAAGATCTTTACATTTACGAGAAACTTGATTCCAAATTTCAATTACTGTACAACAGTGTACAGTATCGGCAATTCTTAAGTTCCGAGCTTCGTAACAGTTTGAGTTTAATTTACAGAGCTTGGCTTTCAAAATTTTAATCCCGATTCATGTTGAGCTATACGAAGTCCAACCTTTTCTTTTTCTCGTCACCATTCAGTTTGGTTTTGACTAAAGCCATGATCAGTCTTGTTCCGACTTGAGTGTATCCGCCATTTTGATTCCAGGGGATTTATGTTTGGCTAATTAATATTTCAATTTGCTCATTTTCTTTTTTAAATATTTTGAACTGCAAAAATGCAAACTTAAGTCAATCGTTGACAAAAGGAAAAATGGTGGTATCAAGCTTTGAATCAACGGTTTATTTACACGTGTTTATTTGGGTCGTCAACGAATAAAATCCCATATATACTGCATTCGAATATATTCCTCCACCTCTTGCAACCATGAACAACAGGGACGAAAGCAATGCTAGCCTCTCATCTTCGATATGATAGAAGTAATTGAACATTTCCTTTGTGAAACGCATTCGTTCGGCTGAATGAATGTTTTCGCGTGGGGATTACATGAATAAAAATTGTTTCTCGAGGAGTTAAATTAGGCATAATAACAGCTTTTATCCTCTCCACTCGACCGTCACGATTTCAGAGAAATTACGTACAGTAAAAGGTACTCACAGCGTCCTCCAAGTTTGAGCTCGCCTGTACCTTGTGCGCTTTCCTGGTCGTTTCTCACGAAACACTGATACATACCACGATCTTCTTTCTTTACCGAGGAAATCGTAAGGGTTTCGCCGTCGTGACTCAGCTTGCTCCCATCTTTATACCACGTCACGCTGTTGATCGGGTTTCCTCCAGTGACACACGTCATCGACGAGGATCTCCCGAACTCGACCGTTTGCTCCCTGGGATCGATGCTCGCGGTCAAGGGAGCTGTGAATGTATATTTTCCCGGAATGGTATCAGCTACTAAAGCTTCCCGGGATCTATTTTGATCCACTCAAACATTACGAAGCATCAAGAAAAATTGAATTTCCGATGAGCCGTTCTAGGCTCTCGAAAGACACTGGTTCAACACCGAATAACTTCATCATTAGTTTTTGTCACATTTATAAAAGAGAAGAATCACCAAGAGAAACGCTTCGAGAAAATATTCAGTCTAGTATTCGAAAAAAGGATTTCAATCGAACTATTTTCTGAAAATCTGAATAAATAAATATTGATTTGTTTTTGGGAATTTATGTCAGATTTGAGAATCTCTCATGGAAAATTTCAATTCCGAGGGAATTTGACGTCTGCTGCGGGAAGTTTTTTTTTACTGAATTCTCTCCTCCAAAAATCGAGGGCAAATTGAAGGAAGATGACAATGTAGAAGGTAACAGTCCGATCGCAATTGGTTTCATTGCCGTATAATCTACAATAGTTACAGCAAGTATAAGGACGCATTCACTAGAAGCTACTGCACACGAAGTATTAATGATGCGACGTCGACTGCCCACAAACAAGAAAAAAAAAAACTCCACACACCACTCATATTCACAATTCGATCTACTGAATCTCACTTGATCCTTAAATTCGAAGGAAACACACAAGAATTGAACGTAAGACAGGAATGAAATACTCACCAGTGACAGTTAGAACAGTCTCAACGCTTTCGCCGCCGACGGAGTTGTTGACGACACAAAGGTACTTTCCGGAATCCTCGACAGTGGCTTGTTTGATGATCAACGTACCTCCAACTTGAATGACCCGGTCGTTGAGCGTGACCGGGCGTTTCTTGCCACCGTCAGCAACGTGAAACCATCTAGGGTTTCAAAATAAATCTACATCAGCATCATCGTCGACCGAAACAGACATGGAATTTCGAATTGCAAAAGCGAAAGAAGTGAGAAGAGCGGTGGGTGACGGAGCTTCGAAATTCTCAAAATACTGTAGTTTGAAATTATGCAATAACAACTCGGACCAGAAAATAAATGTACATTACGTGCACGTACTTTGAAACAAGCCGATACCCGCAAGAAAAGCAAGTGATAATAGCTTAAACCTAAGGTTGCGGAGACAGACGAAAACGGCAACTTGTTGAGAAATTATACTTCAGCGAAATACAGTCTTCGAGTCTCGTTCAATCACATGTTATCTCTACGATTTTATTAGAAAAATTTCGGAGAAAGAAAAGACCTCGAAGATGACTAACGTTACTCGTGAAAATTTGAGTCACGAATACAACGCGTTTTCTGATCTTCTTCTTTGTGAAGCTTCTGGTTCAACCACCGCGCTTACCTTTGCGGAAGGAAAAAAAAAGAGAGAAAGAGTAGAAACGAGGGGATAAATACTGTAAGTTGGTTCTGGCGGGCAGCCTAGAAAATCAGGGAACAAGCTTGCCTGAAACCAGGGACTGGGGATCCTTGGGCAGGGCAAAATAAAGCGGAACCTTCGCCAGCGCGGCTGTTGACCTTCGACAACTCGCTTCCCGAAATTCGAGGAGCAACTTTGGATACCGGCTCTGCGAGACGATTACTGTTGTTTAACTCAGGGGGAGGCAATTGAACATTTTCCCCCTGCATCCCATTTCTGAGTCGCAAGAAATGGGAGGCGGGTTTTTTTTTTTTTTTTTCAAATCGCGGGTCCCCGTGCCATTCAGAAGAGCTAGAGCTAATTTCGGAAAGCTTGCCTGAAATTCGGTACAGGGGTGCCTTGTGCTGCGCAAAAAATTGACACGCCAGAGCCCGCTGTCTTGCTGATTTCCGACAGTTTGCTACCGGATATTCGCGGGGCTACATTCGACACTGGCTCTGTTTGAAGGACAAAACGACCGGAAAGTCTTTCACTACACGTAAGCCGTTCAAAAATAGCACGACTGTCTCGAGCAAATCTATCTTTCCGTTAGTTCAAGAAAATCCGGGGAAATTAGTGAACGTCGGAGTCGACGGGATCCTCTAGGGACGGGTTCCACTACCATTGCATCTGCCGATAACCGACTGACCTGAATGACGGAACGGGGAATCCGCCAGCCAAGCATTTCAAAGCTAATGCGCTACCAGAGTTGCCTTTTACTTGAGACAGCTTAACTTCTGATAAGGATGAAGTCGGGGCTACACGACCGGTTGGTTCTACAAATTTAAGTCCAGAATGAGGCACATATCCATGATGAACAAGGTTCCGCTGCCATTGCCACACGTTCCCGAGAGAACGGCTTCTGCGCCCTGAATTCCGATCTTATACAAAATTAAAATACTGTCGAACCTCTTCCGAGTCAAATTTCAAGGGACCAGTAAAATAATCGACTTTGCGAAATGAACATTTGAGTTGGTGGAAGAAATATGAATTACAGGAGATGATAATCGGTGACATTCTAGGCTTTAAATTGCTTCTTAAATGAGTTGACAGGATGCTGAACTTGAAGGAAAGGACTCATTTGCCCAATTAATCTCTCAATTCCTTTCGAACACATCAAGTTACATTTTCAGCACTTATCTCTTCCCTGCTTCAGTAGAATAATAGCCTAACGGCCCTCAGAAGATTTGAGTTATGGCGGTTTGAGAAGGAAAGCTTTCGAGTTAAGGAAGTTTTTAATCAACTGCTTTCAAGGGAATCCAGACATAGCTACAGGGACTTGGGGGAAAAAATCGAACTGGGCAGGACTTGAAGAAGGTTCGAGTATTCAACTGTACGATAATTTTACGAGCGGAGAAAATGAAAATTGGTTGACACATTTTTTAAATAAGAACACGAAGGAAATGGCAAGGGAAATGGAAGGGATTTTCAGTGAAACGGATCCGAAACAATTGAACATCAAATACGGTAATGGGATCAACCTATGGATTTCTGCGTCGCTGTGTTTTTTTTTTTTTACAACTTTTTGGTCGCGTTTCAATCGCAATAAAAGTGAGCCCGGAGTTACCTGGGGGATACGCGAATGTGAACAGGCCGGAGTAACTCTTTTTCTCATCACACTCGAATCTTTTCTCGGTGGCTCACGGTTTCCTTTTGTCAACATTCCCTAGCTATGAACAGGGGGATTCGTGACGATGTTCCGATTTTTACTTCGAAACCAACCTGAACATCGGAACCGGAAAGCCTCCAGCATTGCATTTCAACGCAACTGGGATCCCTAGCTTGCCTGTTACACGAGACAACTCAACCTCCGACAGGGCAGAAGTAGGAGCCACTCGGGTCGTGGGTTCTGAAGCAAGGACCAACGAAGATATCGAGAATCACGACATTCTCCACTAAAACTGGCACATCAGTAGCGACTACTCGAGGGTCGAGTTTCGGGGGATTACTATTATTATTTTTTTCTTCGGAAAACACACCTGAATACTGGGATAGGGAACCCTTGGATCTCGCATACAAGAGCAACGTCTCGCTTGGCCATCCCATTCGCTTGGAAGGTTTTCACCTTCGCCGAGTTCGACAAGGAGTTGCCTTTCGGTTCTAGTTTTTTTTCATACAGAAAAACAAATTAAAGCTAAAATCACCTCGATTCTGGGACAGGAAACCCCTGAGCAGGGCACAGAAGGACTGCCATCGAACCGGCCTTGTCCGGATTTCGAGCCACGGCCAGGGGCATTTTTGGAGCAATTTTAGAATGTGGGTCTTGAAAAGAAAAAATGTCACAGAATTTATCCTACATCCCGCCTAATAATAACATGTGTTTGGGCAACCCTGCCGTTGGAACAGAGCTGGGGGTCCTAGAAAACCCGTTCAAGGGAGTTGCATCTCGAAAACTTATGACACTTTGAGCATCGATGAAGAAATGTTAAGCTGTAGTTGATTCATTTAATAACAACTGCCGGGACCTCTGGGATATCCAAGAATTTGCGCAAAAATGTATCCTTACATATGCAACAACGAACCATCATGAAAACTATAAAATCCAATTAAAGGCTTCGCATTGTTTCCTAGCGAAGATTTTCTCCCCCTCGCTCGCGTTTCATCAAAAGAATTCCAAAATCATTGAAGATTCTTATTTTTGTGATCACCTGAAATTTGGCGGAGGAAATGCTTGAACAGTGCAAGTAAGCGCGGCATCATTCTTCACACGACACTTTTCGCGCACGAAGTCGCCCATTTTCTCATCTTTCAACCTCGGTGGGATGCTTGATTGTGGCTCTTGAAATTCCAAGAAACGCCGCTATTTGTTTAATCGAATTTTAACTCAAGCCGCGAAATCGAATTTGGCTCGTCAAGATGCAGTACCACAGCCATTACACTCGCCAAATTGTTGGGGATTGGAGTTTCATAGTGAAATGATATCGAACCTGTAAGTGGGTGTGGGATGTGCCTGGATATTACACAGGATTTCCACAGCCTTTCCAATTTCTTTCACGCGTTCAATAAATTTGACATTGTCGCTGTCTTTCCGCTTTGGACTGATGCTCGTAGGAGGATCTAAAACGTGGGTATTTATTTTTAGAGAGTGAACCTCAACAGCACGCATTAGTTTGGGATACCCCTGCCATTACAAGCCGAAGGATCACTTTTTCCGCCCAACTAAATATGAAGGATAAATTGTGCGGAAACAGAACCTGTATTGCGGAGGGGGAAATGCTTGCACCAGGCATCCCAAAGCAACGGGCTGACCGACGTTTTCAGTAGTTTTCGTGAACTCCACACTTTTCGAGTCAGTCCTTTTTGGTGCGATAGTTGTTTGAGGTGCTTCAAGAAACATTTCGATTACAGAATAATTAAGACGGGGCGACTTTTTCTTTGCCAAGTGGGTCGGGTCCCCTGCCAAGCGAAATTATTCCAATTTTCAAAGAACGAACAACCAGCGTGGAATCGAAAAAATGTAAAACATTTTGGCCTAGATATTTCGGATGTTCCCTCGCTTTGAAAAGGCAAGTTTCACAAGTATAAGGAGATTTCGCAAATCGTGAATTTCAGCTCGCGCGAGTCGACGTAAACAGCAATCCATTTTAAAATAAGATTTTTTTTTATCTTCATGTCGAAAGCCCTAGTTTGTTCATTTTCGTAGATGAATTTCTGCTTCAACGTTCTCGGATTAGTAGTTCCTCAATTATTAGATTATCTCCCTGAAAAGCCAAAGCTGAGTTTCAACTCTAAAACATAAAAAAAAAATAAGGGGGACTTTCCGCAGACGTGAAAATTCAAGTTGACTCATTTTTTAAAGCATAAATATAATCAAAAATTTGTGTACTGTGCTTCACAAAGAAATTCCTCGAGACTTTCATCTTTAAAAACTTTGCATTTGTCAGTGGCTACATTAAAGCGTGCTGGAAAATGAAGTTCACGATTGCTTGATACGAATGCAGTATTAAACTCCTGAATCCGAGGTAAACGGTGTTAATTCGACGCATCATAGCTTAAATTCACAAACAGGAATAGTTGGTTTCCTAATCTGATTCTTTAAAACCTAAACAGGAATCGCTGCTTTGCGGTTCAGACATTGAACACTTGAAGCAGTTTTCATCCAGTGTTCTCGGGAAGACGAGGGCTATGTCCAGAAAATCTACGGGCAACGCGAATGACCCAGGAAAGTTGTTAAAAGGAGCAACACGACATGAAAATATTTGAATGCGTTGATGATTAAGAAAGGAAGATAATTTGATTGACTCTTTCACGAGGAACAACGGACAATCATCCAGGGAAATGGCTGAAAAATAGCAATCCTCTAGATAACGCCATGAAAAATTTATTTAAAAACAGCTCGGCAAACCAAAAATCTCTGATATTAAAAAAAAGAAGCTAGATTCACCTCGTCGTGGGAGGCGGAAAGGCCTGTACAGCACAACTTAACGCAGTAGAAGCTTGCACTCGAACAGATACCTTGGCGTATCCGAAGTCTTTCGAATCTTTAGCCTGGGGCGCGATACTCCCTTTGGGTTCTACAAAAGTATCAAAATAAATACTGTATTTACACTTCCCGAGTGGTTCGTAAACGGAGAAAGAATACCCCAGCCACTTGAGAGCAGTCTCAATTCACCAAAAACGAAGTTCTAGGAGCATGGGAAAGACGCAGAGAGTTACTCCGGCCTTTCATTGTACTGTACAGTAATCGGCATTTGTTCTATCCTATATCGCGAAGGGCTTTTGTTCTCTCGATTCTTGAATTGCTTTCCGTACCATCGGACGTCGACACAGAGGTCCTTTTTTTTCGCACCCGTGAACTTCGCAAGGATCACAACACCGCGTGATACTCTTGATTAATGACTAAGTGGCGAGGAAATTGGGAAGATGTTCCTCATATCAGATGAAATATCATCTAATAACATTCGCAAAGGCTCGCAAGGCCTACCTGAAAGATGGGGCAGGATGAGCTTGCAACGTCAAGACAAATCCCACAGTGGATTGGGCACGAGCGTCCACCAAAACGAGTCTGTCTTTCGCATCCTTAATCTTCGGCGCGATGTTCCCGCGGGGTTCTACAGCAGAATATTTACGCAAGAATACTTCAGCCCAACAGCTCAGGCTGTCATCGTTGTTAAGTCGAAGTTTTTAATTATATTCAGTGTACAGCATTTCTTCTTGAATTGCTCGACACCTACATCTAACTCCCAGATTGTCTGGTTAGGCAAAAGTTCGCGATCGCTCCGTAAGAAAGAGGGGTTTCTCACAAGTCCAGCAGGTTGCAAAGATATTGCAGGCGGCTCATTACCCCTAGCTTACAACTGCATGTTCTGTATTTAACTTTGAAATTCATCTTGTTGATTTAAAAAAATCACTGAAAATTACGTCAAGATACAGTGAAATAAAAATTATTCAAGCCAGCGACCTCAAATTTCAGCCCGTAAGAAGCAACAAGAACAACTTCAAAATATTCCACGTGCTTCATTTTTCGGGATTATCCTCCACTTTGGGCAGGTAATTATAATTTTCTATACGCTGGAAATATTGGGACTAACAGAGCTCTGAAGGAGTCATGAAAAATTAGCGCCTAATCATTTTTACGAATCCCTTTCCCGCGAATTCTACTGGCACACGGAATAAATTCGCAAATTTATGTGTCCCTAGCACTGAACTGTATGCGGAATTGGATCATGTTTAATTATGAACAAGTATCCGGAAAAGATCATGGTTTCATTGGTATGCATTGACAATTACTATTTGATTTTAGAGACTTTTGAGAACCCCTCAGCAATTGATGCGGACATCTTTATTTTACGGGCATAGAATTATAGAGCGAGAAAAAAAAAACGGATTCATATCAATAAAACGTTATTTCTTCGAAGTCAATACAGTACTTACATTTTTTCCTACGCGCTCTTAAATTATCCGAAGAATTAGCAAATATGTCTCAAGAAAATTGTGGTCACAAAAAAAAAAAAACCGCGAGAGCGAACTTTCCTCTAACCCCACGTAATCATTTCTTGGATAACGCTTTCTTGTGCGATCATAAAGCGCAAATTGTTCACGTGAGTAGAAACGCGCGAGGATGTTCCCTGTGTTTGGGGAAGGTGCACCCCTGCCGCATGCCAGATCCGAGTTTAACGACGCTTTAGCATGAAATTCACCTGAATTCGGGCGGGGGAAATGCCTGGATGTCGATGACGAGCGCGACGGGACGGCCGTGTTTCGCGTCGGTGTGAAGATAACGGTTGCTGGTGACTTTGACGCGAGGAGCAACGTCACTGTGAGGCTCTGTTTCATCGGAAAATAATTCGCCGTCAGTCACGCGGCTCGTTCGTTAACGGGAAAGATACCCCTGCCGGAAACACGTGAGCAACGGAAGGAGCTACAGTACTGAGGTACCATATACTACAGCACATACTGTACAGTAGCCACAGGGACGGATTCGCTTTTTTTTTCTCGCCTAGTTTCCTTCATGTTTTCGTGCAATTGTTCGAATCCTAGAACGCGAATTATTCAAGCGCACAACGCATCCCCTCTTCCTTCTCAAACGAATTTCTCCCCAGGGAGTGTGGAAGTAAATTGAACACACTGTTGAAACAGTAGCAACACTCGGACTCAATTTTCCGGACGACAGAGAAAATTCGAATCACGAAAGTTGAGTTTGGAGGGATATTTTGATCGGGAATGGTACCTCACAACTCAGACCTGTTCAAATATATTCGAATGCAGTTATATTTCAATCAATCGCCTGAATCGGCTTCTTTTTCGAAGTTATCGTGAAATAGGCATGATTTGTTTGGTACTAGTAGGTCTCCCCGAAGTACCACAGAATTAAACGGGTCCTGCTTAATTCACGTGATAACCCTAGGTTATAAGGTTCTGGTAGGTTTTGATTATGAACGCAAGGCCGACTCTAATTATCGTGGATTCGATTTATCGGGCCCAAAATGTTTACTAAAAGCATCATTCACTGGAAAAATCAGCATTTGCTCATTCGAGCTCATCTTGGGAATGCATACCTCATTGATCAAATTAAATCAAGGTGCGGCAGACAAGGCTGAACTGAA